CTCCCCCCAACGATTGAGATCAATTAACTGAATAGCTATAATAGTTGCTAACAAATAGGTATACAGCACCGAAGAGTTCTCTCCTGACATGACGAAATCTCATATTCACTTATAACAAGTATACTCTCAATGTAATGAAATTGGAACAATTGAACACATTCTCCTAGAATGCCGCAAAAACAAAACCAACCTCAGATATCAACTCTCCCACCACATTAAAGTCTCCGCAACCCTCATTAAAATATTACAAAACCCTGAACCCATAGTCTACAAAAAATAGCAATCTTCCTCTCGCACAACAAAATCCAACTGTAAACCTATCCCTTTCTCATTTCTATTCTCATCTTCTCTCTTCTACTATTTCGTGGAATCTGGATATGTGTTTTCCACGGCTCTGTTCTAAGTTAGCAATATAAGTCATTCCAGTTGAGCCTCTGTGAACGTGAAAATAACCAGGCCTTCATCTAACCATAAAAAAACCCCAATACAAGACAATCTATATCATCTCATAAAACCTCATTACGATCCCTTTGTATCCTACAGAATACTAACATAAATCCCTAGACCTATTATGATGCCTACCTTTACCCTTTCATCCCAGCTTTAATTAAAACCTAAATTTCTTTCCAACTTCAGATCCCTTCCAAGGCCGCAGTATCCCCCAGAGATAAAGCCTAAAACAACATTAAAAAAAAAAAAAAAACTCACAATAGGTGGTATTTATTTCTTGTAGTCGGAACTGTACTCAAAGCTGCCAATCTCGGAAACTCATATTTAAAACAAGGACACTCTCTCAGTAGGTAGTACTTTATCATACAGCCGGAGAGCTGAATCCGAAGTCGCCAATCTATCATTCGGCGACGTGAGGGGCTGCGCCGATTCTAGGAGGATCACTAATTTCAGACGTATTAAAGAGAGCGGAAAGAGTGATGAGCGGCGGCGGGGGGGGGGGAGAGAAAGAACGCTCCTAGGCAAGAGTAGTGAAAAGTTCCTAGACACTTTTCGAGGAAACGTTTGGAGAGGAAAGGGTGAGGGCGTACCTGAGAGATGGATTGATAATGAAGCGATTCGGTAGACTATCAAAGGGAAAAACCCAAGTGTCGAAAAACAAGAGTGAGACAATCGGAATGAAATGAGCTGAAATCGCTCGCTCGGGCCTGAATCCCGAGAAAAAGGTTCCTTATCTACCTACTAGACCGCCAGCAGACTGTCAGACATCCGGTGGGGTGTCTCGCACGCCAAGTCATCGCAAATTCGGATTCCTTGCCGTTTCCCTCGTGTCCACGTCGGCAGATCAATCGAAAACATTTTGATACCGCTCACAATATCATTCGAATCTGGCGGGAACCTTACTTTGGACAATACGGAAAGAGAGGGTTTGCGATGCTCAAAAATATCCGATGATGGTTTTTCAAAGTACCAACGAGAAAACTGACGAATATTCTTTCTTCGTTACTTTAGTGAGAGGTATTGCCACAGGTAAATGTGCTTCCCTGAAATTTTTTTTTGACGAACGGTGATTTTGGAAATGCGGGATGGTCCAAAAGACAATTAACTTGATACAATTTACATGCAACTTTCATCATTGGAAATGAATGACACGTTTTAATTTTCGAATTTCACCTCGAACTATGCCTTGGAGAAATAAATTATTTTGCAGGGACCTGGAGAAAACTAGTTTCTTCAGACAGAAAACCTCTTCTGAGAAAAGAAGGGGGGAATTTTTGAACTAGGCACCGATCAATGAAAATTTCTCAATCATTTTTCGTACAATTTTCCTCACACCAAGAATGATAAGTCAATAAATAGCGCAGAAGTAGAGCAAGAAAATACCCCATAACATTGCCGCATTTGCATAGTGCCTATGAGTCAATTTTGAGACCTTGAATGATGACTAGTGCTTCGGCTGCCTCACGACTGCGTAAAATGAATTTTCGATCGAAAAGTGGACAAAAGACACACATCAGGAAGAGAAGAATAGTTGAGAGGAGGAAATTTATCAGTGATAAAACGTTGAGACTAAAAAATCCTGGAAAAAAGCGATCGATTTGAAAAAGGGCACAGCTAAATTAGGTATTTTAGAAATCTTTCCTACAGCGTACAAACTGACTTTATTTTAGCAGCTCTTGCGACGATCAAGGGGTAAACTCAAGATTTGATGAAGAATATTTCCGTTTTATATCTCGATGCATTACTTGCATACACCAAAACTAAACAGTAAGAGAAGGTCTCTCTTGAGAAAATTGGTTTGGTAGCCATGGAATGCGCCATTTTTCAAATTGGTCGTTCAAACACGTTGAAAGTACATCATCATAGAGAAGGTAATCACATCATGAATGGGCAGAATTTAAATCAGAAATAGATACAGTATCTCAAACCTCGATTCCAGAGTCAATCAAACCAGAGATCTCAGAAGGAAAGTTGAAAGTAGAGTTGAAAGCAGGGGCCAAGTTTTCCAACACGCTGGAGACTGCCATGATTGAAGTCAGCTACAAAACCCGACCGAATCAACTTATCGCGACAATTAACTCGCGAATCATTCATGCACTGTACGATATAACACATGAACACTAAACACTTATATCTCGGCGAGAACACAGACGAAACTCTCGAAAGCAGCATTGAATTCCAACGACACAAAACGAATGAACAAATTCACGAAATTGCGCGGAGAAGGAAGAAACCCGAAACAAGTATCTCGGCGGCTGTTTATACTCTCCACGAAACGCGACACAATATCCAATGAAAGTTAACGCACACCGAAAGTTCGTTCGCGAGACTTGAAAGTCGGATAATATGTTAAACACTTAAGAAACGGAGTAACGAATGAGAGGAAGTTACCGAGGTTGAAGCATGGTGCCTCGAGGGTTGATCCGTAGGCATCACGCACGCGACCAGAAACGAACAAACACTGACTGACCGAAAAAGGCCGACGCCAGGAAGGAACCAGAGGGGGGATTGCGGACGGGGGGGAAAGAGAGGAGAGAGAGGAGCGGGTGGGAAACATGCTTCAACGTGAATCAGTGAGGGGACGGAGGGGTTTCTTTTCCTCACGCTGAAGAGTATAGGAGATTTTGCTACAGACAGGGTTGCAATATTTCATGAAAATTAAAACCTTGATTCGCATGTTTGGAAATACAGTAGTTTCATGCTTTAGAAATTAAGGTGATTCGACGGTTGCCATTTTTTGTGTCAGAGCGACGTACGATTTATCGCATCAATTCGTTCCATAATTATAGCTACTTGTCGTTTTTTTCGTATTTTGAGATCGCACTTCTGAAGTCATGAGACCAAAGAATTCATGTACCATTTGACAAAGAAATTCAATGTAGTCAAGGCAGGGTTTTTTTCATTGACGTATAATACAATCTAGACCGCGCATTACGAAATTCAAGCGAGACGATAGGCAACCCAGCAACACACATTAAGTGTACCGGCGAGACAATGGTGGAATTCGCGGAAATGCCAGTCTTGCCAGTGCCGTTGCCTGATACGGGTACACTTAGCTCGTATATCCGGCGGTATCAACTAGGCTGAAGGCGCGTCTTTACCCCCCTAGCTGTCTCACCTTCCCCGCCTAAAGTCGGGCCCAATGCGCGGTCTAGATTGTATTATACGTCAATGGTTTTTTTAGAGGAAAAATATCGCATTCGATACCTACTGATATCGAAACTGCACTCGAATGCAATATATTTCCTTTGAAAATATCCTGCATTTAATACGTTGAACTTCTTTGTCAAATGGTACATGAATTCTTTTGCTTCATGACAACAGAAGTGCGATCTCAGAATTTTAAAAAAAATGATAAGTAGCTGAAATTATGGAACGAATTGATGTGATATATCGCACGTCGCTCTGTCACAAAAAATGGCAACCGTGTTTTTTTTTTTTTTGAGTGAGGACTAATAAGGCTACCTCGTGGCATTGGTTTGAGGACTGGCTTGTCCTCAGCATTCATTTTTCCACTTGTATTTCTCACAAAATATTTATTTTCACGTGTTCTCTCCATAGGCGTAGCCAGGCCCTTTGCAAGGGGGGCCTGGTCCTCCACCACCGGGGGGTCTGGGGGATATGGAATACCCCCCACCTCAGTGAAGGTACCGGGGGGTAAATTTTTGAAATTTTAACTCTATTTGAGCGCATCTTGAGGCACTTGTGGCGCTGATCTTCCTTCAATTTCTGCCTAAAAATCACCCAGTTTTATGCATTTTAAGGTTAAAATACTTTGAAATTGTTGCATTCAATAGGTTATTCTATTTATACGCATCCTCTCACGGGCCACGGCGACAGACTTACCGTCGAAGGAGGTGTTTTTGCACCATCCAGAATTTCTGGGGGGGGAGGGGGGAGGGGGGGACAGATGATACTATTTCCAATTCTGGGGAGGGCCAGGCCCTCCTGCTCCCCCCCCCCATCCTACGCCTCTGGTTCTCTCCTGTAATACGTGTTCTGAGATAGGAACATTCCCAAAGTTTCATTTTTCTATCTCGAACCGTTCAAAAGTTAGATGGGGGAGGGGGGGGGGCGGCTGGACTTTGGGAACACCCTGTATGCACTTTTTAACCCATGTAAAAACCTAACCTCAAACAACGTAAACAATCGAAGAGGAACCAAAGTTTCGGTTCCGGTGTAGTTTAAATTTTTGAATCGTTATTGTGCTTTCAGCATGAATTTTTCACGCTGATCCTCAAATTCATCATAAATTCATTGTGGAAAGTCGCAGATCACTCCACCCCGTATTTTGTAGATGCTAAATTTTACCGCGTAACAATGATTACCCTGCTGAAATCATACACAACCAGACTCAAGGATGACGTGAAAACGATGGTAGAGAACTTTGAAGGTATATAATTTATTTTCTCCTCATTGGTACTTTGTGCTGTAGTTCATTTCACGAAACTTAAGACTTTTTATTCAGCATCAAAATCTGTAAATGGCAAAGCATCAGTCCCTACTGCGATGACTGGACCGCTCGCTGGACTACCTCTATCGTGCAGCAAAGAGAGGTCTGCAACCCGCTCATTATCAGGATGAAACGAAGGGTATCCTTCATCCTTCCTCCAACAGCGCAATTACCCGGACCAAAATTTTTTTGCCATTGAAATATTCATCTTTTAGCGCGAAAATTTAGTTCCAGCGCAAAATTATGATGAAAATGCTCTATAACTCTGCCCAATTATCTTAATTTTGAACTGATATACGGCACTTGCATATGACTGCGATTTGCTGCGAAATGCCATTTATTACGTATGACCGCAAAATGCCATGTATCAGCGGTAAAAAAATTAAGATAATTGGTCGGAATTTTAGTGCGTTTTTATCTTAATTTCGCAATAGAACTCAATTTTCATGCTAAAAGATGAATTTTTCAACGGCATAAAAATTTTGGTCTGGGTACTAAGGCTATTAGTGGAGAGATGAAGGGTGTCCATTGTTTCCACCCTGACAATGAGCGGGTTTTGGACCTCTCTTTGTTGTACAATAGAGGTTGTTCAGCGAGCGGTCCGGTCATCGCGGCTGGACTGACGCGTTGCCATTTATGGATTTTAATGCCGAATAAAAAGTCTCAGGTTTTGTGAAATGGACTATAGTCTATCTTTATGAAGGCGAGAGAATTTAAGTTGCTCTAAGGATTGCTGAGTTGCATCTATCCCTGGAAGATTTACTTACGCACTGTATGTGCCACTTACGGTGCCAAAGTAGAAAAATGTGTCTCAATTTTCATCAAAATTGCAATTTAGTGCCAGCAGGTGCGCTTCTCAGAACAATTTTCTAAATCCAAGTTTTTCCTCTACTCTTTTCACTCGGTTTTGAATCAACTTGTGCCTTAGGTTTTGCATGTCCCTTTGGACTGTGGTGTGCCTCTCCACAGACTTTTCCAGTTTTTCTCACTGAGACCTGGTCCTTGGTAGTGTGATTCCTCACATGGTGGTTACCTTAGCGCCACACCTAAAAGTCCTTTCAAAGCCACTGATGTCCTGTATTGGGCGGGTGTGTATCCGCTGTGGAATGGACAGCCTTTGAAATAGCCTGAAAGAAGAGAGGGGGGCTTGGATTGGCGGGTGTTGCAGAATGCGATGCTCATTCTGTCCTATACTCGCAATATTTTTCCATGGCGCTTAGTTCCGTTTGACAGACCGTGCCACCCGGGATTCTAAAATCCTCAAACAGAACTCAATTTGGTGCTTAGTTCCGCTTAACAGAAATACGTCCAAATGTGACTGATCAAACAGGGGAATACTGCACTTACACTGGTCTCCCCCTCTTTTACGTTAATAGCGGTGGTTGCCACTAAATGGACTTCCAGAACGAGGAACCTGGTAGTACACTCAAAGCAGTCCTTCCTTTCTGTGGGAGGAATCAGTTTACCTCTCTCCCAGAATTTTTCCCACTGGTCTCAGCACCGATTCTTTGATTGTTCAAACTGGCAGCGATGGAATCACCAGGCCAGATTGTGTTTCAAGCATTTAATTCACCAGTTAGAATAACAGAATCATGAGTGGTGGCTTATTCTTATTTTATGCAAGAACCATCACACCACCAAAGAGAGTGGATCAGAAACAGAGTCGTGTTACTGAAGAGAGCTTCAAAATTCGTTCAATGCAGCACAAACTGACTGATACCACGAAAACAGCAAAATTAATCTTATTTGCATAAAAATGATATCTATAAGAAAGAATTTAGTAAGCTGAAATTGTCTTCATTTCAGACAGAACAGCAGTTAAAGCATATTATTTCATGAGAGAACTGCTGCCTTGAGTCAAATGCTATCCTTTTCTGCCAATTTTTAACCGCAAAACTTTCTTGTGCAATAAATCCAAAATAAATCTGTATCCACTATGAGTGACCTCTTACTTGCAGTACCTAATGATCAATCTTTCTCAGTTTTGTGGCAATTGCAGTCGGCTGGCAACTAGGAGGTTCCGAAATTCATCCCAGGGTAACGAGCACACTCTTTTCCATACTTTACTGTTACTCTTTTTAGTACGCACAATAAAATCCAACTGTTTGTAATTGTTTCAGAAATAATCAGACTGGCTAAAGGTGAACATGAAACTCAACTTTCTAGAATGGCACAGTGTGAACAAGACACCTTTGAGATGCATGTGCGCGCTGCAAACATCGTCCGAGCAGGCGAATCATTAATGAAGCTTGTTTCAGATATCAAGCAGTACCTAATTTTAAACGATTTCCCATCTGTGAATGATGCAATTACTCAAAATTCAAAACTATTCCGTAATAAGCAAAATGAGTGTGATCAGAAATTAATGAATCTCAGGGACGATATGGCTGCTGATTTATATGATTTAGAGGAAGAATATTATACCTCCATTGTAAAATGAGATTTTTTCATCTGTATTGCTGTTTCATACGCATTTTTTCTCAGCCTTTCGTCCAAATATGTGTCTATCTTAACTGGAAATTTACATAATTTAAGGAAGATGTCTGGGATGTCTTCTCTTGTTTACTCTCTCTACCAAATATTTTTTTTTTCTTTGATTACCTGAATTTTTGAGTGTTTTATTAAATATGATTTTGTCAGTTGTTAGCTTGAAATATAGGTAAGCAATACATTTTTAAAGAAATTTATTGTATCATTCTCTAAAAGCACTGACACTCATTGAGTAGCTATAAACCTAGACACAATTTTTCCGTTTCATTTTATTGGCAAGAAGAACTCAGTCAGGATACCCAACGATTACTTATGTTAGTTCCTAGTCTAAGTGTTGATCCAAACCCTCAAAATTGAACGTCACCCAGTCAACTCCCAAGAAATTGTCTTAAATTTTCTCATTCAGAATTCATTGTAGGTAGCTGTCAATTGTTTTCTTGGAGAAACTATTCTGAAGAAATCATCATTATTCCAGGAATATTTTTATATTTAGGATTGATATCATTGATCCGAAGAGGATCAAGTCATTTTGCTTTTTTTCACCTTAGTACAGGATAAAGGAACAAAGGTACCGAATGGAATATTTAATCAGAAAAATAAAAATGGTTCTTGTTGAATGAGAATTTGAGTTTAATTATTTTTTGTACATAAATAAATAAATAAATTTATGTAAACTCTGAGTCAAAAGAAATTTACAATTGAAGCAATAAGACTCTATCACCATTAAAAAAAAAGGAAAAAAAAGAGATTTAAATAAATAAGATGGACTGTGTAACAGTAAATGGTAAGGTCGATTCATGAGATGTATCATCAAATAATAAGCAATTCTGAGCAAAGCTGCAGCTGCACTCCAACTCAAAAAATAATTTTTTCTAATAGTTGGCTTGGACTTTTTGCTCTCAATGAACAGATTTTACCTGTTGTTATGCCAAACCATTATTGCCAGATAAAGATGAAAAATAAATCAGTTTATTTTCCCCCATTTAAAATATCCACATTTTATTGTATAACCTGTCAATGCTGTGCCTGTCACGGCACAAAGACAGCTTTAGTAAAATAACAGCATAGGGTAAAAATAATTCTTTTTTTTAGGAATTAGATCGAATTTAAGTAAAGTGAAATCTTATACATTTTGCTCTTCCAAATTCGGGAAGAAAAACGATTTGCTAACAACAAAAAAAAGACTGAAAACAGTGACAAAGCACTAAAATTTCGGTCAGAGGAGTCAATGGCAACAAAATAATAGGAATAATGGCAAATAAATGCAGCAAAAAAGTGTTGATACTTATCATTGGGCATGCCACCAAAAATCTTGTATTTCTCTTCTTTACAAAATATGCAACAGCAGAAAGTATCGTAAAATCAAGTTTCAAATCTTTGAATCTTGCAGCAAATTTACATTAAGTATAAGATCAATCCAGGCTCCAAGTTTGTATTTTGGTGTTGACAGGAAAACTGCCCGTTGAAAAGCACAACCGGCTTTGTTGTCCACTGCGGGACCGAGTTATACCTCTCTTATATTTACTTGCGTGGCTTGTCTTCCCAACGATTTATATAGCCCAATAGTATTATTATAAATCATTGGGAAGACAAGAAGTCACGTAAGTTGATTGGTGCACCCTGATAAAATGCTAACCAAGGTCTCTTCTTGAAGTTAACAAGACACAAAAAAGCATCACCAATTGACAGAACTGAGGTGGTAGGAATAACATAGTGCCTCATTATCAGTGCACAGGATGATGTCATATTTTCAGGGCAATGTTCCTGTTAAAGGTACATATTAGCTGTCAAAATTGGCCATTGGAATGACTTTGTCAATTTTGCTATATTCAGGATTCTACATTTAAAGCTTGATCTGGTGCACCCAAAATTGATTTACTACAGGAAAATAAACATCATATGTATTAGCAATAAATTTGTAACTAAATCATATGCAAAAGTGGTTTGAACAGAGGTTAAAATCTTAAACAGCAAGAAATATCTTTACAAACAAAAAGCTCAGCTTTATTTAAAAACGTAGTGTCGGTGTTCGTGGTTTATTTAAAGAGCCTGGTGGATGCCTCATTAGCACTACCTTCACTGAATAAAGAAATTTAAAAACAGAATTGCGTCGATTATAATTGATCAACTCAAAGAGTATGTGGGTAATGGTAACTAAAGTAAATAATATTTTTTCAACTGAGGCAGCAGTTGGTTATGAACTTTTCTTACTTTTTTTTATGGGCAAGGTAAAGTTTTGAGTACAAAAGTACAGCCAAAAATAAGTTTAAAATTTAATGCTTATGCCTATGAAGTTGTATTTTAAGTTCTCATCAAGTTTGATCAATTAGATGGATTTAATAAGTGTCAGTAAGTAAAGAGTAAGTAAAGTAAAATTAACGGATGAGTTTGTTAGATTTGCGGAGACATGCTCCAGAATTTTAGCCAAACAAGTTTTTGTTTGAATATTCATCCAAATGACTGAACTGCTTTAATGCTCTAAATATTGATTAAAGCTCAAATTTGATAACAGCAACTATCGACTCAAAATTGTTCAATATACTTTAGCAATGCTGATAATTGTAGCTCAGAGCCAAAGGATCAAATATACATATTTATGAATTTAAGATAAAAAATAAATAACCATGCACATGTTCAACCCGATGCAGAGTGAATTCTTCTCAATTTTTAAAAATTAGTATCTAGATCCTTGAATTAGACACAGCTAAGAATATTGCTGAAGAAAGCGATAATCAGGGAAAAGAGATCAGGAGACCTAACTTCATGTTCCTAAAAAAATTTTATAACGATTCTTTTCTCTCTAAGTTATGGTTATGATCTTGATTTTATTCATCTGTTCGTAACTATTGGTAACAGGCAAAAAAGATACTTCACAGAAATAATCATAACCCTTAGGTGAACCAGTGATAAGATTCAGAGTAAAAGCCGGAAAATCGAGCAAAAATGGTACAACCATCAAACAATAATAGGTACAAGTCCAATCTATTGGTGCACTTTCCTACTACATTCCCAACCTCAGTGCATACCTATTTGAATGCTTGGGAATTTTTATAAATAAGACATCCACTGAAAATTCAAAAAGGCAACCTACCAAGTTTCATCAATAATGATGGACTTAGGATTACAAGTTCACTTCTTAAATAGTTTGAGTATGATATGAGTTTATGAAAGATCAGAGAAGCTGAAATGAATGAAAAGGAAAATGGTACGATACCGCCAGCTAATTTGTCTCATTTACAACTCTCATCAATCTTCATCAATTTATTATGGCTTTAGATGGCTATAAAAAATATAAAAAGGTTTCCAGGTTTCATTGAAAGGCAAAATATGATACACCTCGGGATTGAAGAATCCAAGCGCAGGGGCAAAAACTCTTGGTTGCTACTTTAGGTTGGACATTTCTATTTCGACTGACATCTTTCTCACTTCAAAAATGGACAACAGAAATATTACGAAACCATTTGGAGGCCATATTACAATTATGATCTATATAAATTTTTACAGTTCCTTACAAAAACATTGATTAGCTGCACTTTCATATGATGAATAGCAGACTGACAAAAATCAGGTTCAGATCTTAAAGAAAATATTTTAAAATTTATATACAAAATACACAGAAATATTCATAACAAATTTTAATAAAACATCTATGATAAAAACAAAAACATGAAAACAAAAATTCTAGCTATTTACATCAATAAAAATATTAAATGTATCACAAGAGAACAAAACATTTTTTCCTTCAACTATTGACAATCTCACACATCCCCTTCCAAAATTAAACAAGTTGCACCTCAAAAGGAAAACAGATTACCTAATATTTACTTCTAGTATTTTTATTGAGTCCATTTTAACTAATATCAGAGTACTTCTTTTGAAAGGTGATGCATCAAACATTTGCAATGTGTGAGAAGCTTCAGAGGCTATCTCCCCTCCTCACTTTTTGAACTTAAAATTTCACAACATTTTTCGACAAAGAAAATAAGTTTTGAGAAAACAATTACAGGATATTAACTGTGTAACTCAGCCCTCTCTGCTACACTTTTTACCGTTGCACTACCTGTGATCACAGGGAGAAGACGAGCTACACCAATTAAAGATTAACCTCTAGCTCATGGATACAATATAATTCAGCAACGGACGGCTCATCCTGAGATTAGTAATGATAATATTTCCAAGAAGAAACATGAAAAAAGAAGAATGAGTAAAATCAAGCAAAAATTAAAGATTCAATAAATTCTTCGATCTGAGAATCATACTCATCAACATAAAAAAAAAGAGGAACAAAATTAAAAAAAATTCTACATAAACTGTTTCTGCACTAGGTTACAGCTCGCTATGTTTTGGAACTGAATGAGTGTAAAAATCAAACTCTAAGGTGTTGGATCTGAAAATGCAAAATATTTAAACTGAAACAAATTAATTTTTTGTTTTCTGGAACAGAATTTGATTTGGATTCCATTGCGTGCCTTCAAGGGCTCAGTCCTCCTCTGATGAACTACAGAGGGATACAAATGTAAGAAAAGGACATTTTTGTCTTTTTGTACATGCTTTAAAAGCAGAATTAATGAACATACATAATAGTTAAACCTTGTTTTTGACGATTTTCAGTTGAGAGTTCTGATTTGGAGCAAACATGCATATTTTGCCATAACCAAAATCCACTTTTTTATTTTGATCTGGTATGATTTTCTTTTTTTCAACAATGAACAAACCTAAGTGAAAAATAGAACAACAATTTGCCGATTCAAAATCCAACTCCTTGATCTCTTTTATTGTCAAGCTGTAAATGCCAGCGATTAGAAGAAGGAAAAATGTTTTGATAAGTCTTTTTTTTTTGCTTTAGGAATAAAAATGAATTATCAACACTTTTAATGGAACAAACTTCAAGCAGGTGCACTGCTTTTCATTCATGCATTCATTAATGAAAAAAGAGTTTAAGTCTTATGAATAATGAGTCATGACTGAAGCCACTACGTAAAATAATAATTAACCTTGAATCCCTTTTTAATCTAGGTATATAATTACATTTTGGGTGATGCTAAAATGGCTTCGGAGAGATTTTGATATTCTGAAATGAAGGGTACACAACACAGGAACTACAAATGTCATACGTATTATGTAGACAAATTAAGTGAAGCTCAAGATGGCATAAGGGTGAATCTCCAGCAGACATAAACAACTATTGAGATATAAAATACATACGTCAATTATAATTTTCCTTTAATATTCAGAAAAAAGTGAGGCCATAGGAGAGGCACGTCTTGGCTGTATATTTTCAAAGTATTCCTCTGGAAAACCTTAAATGAACGCCAACATTACCTGATCTATGGATTCGCTATTCACATGACAAATGGAAAGGTGATAGTAAGTGTCTAGCTTATTTTGGTTGTTATTTGCGGTTCTCACAGAGGATTTTTTGGTAGAAGACAGGTCAAACGTGTTGTTACATGCAAGTTTAGTTTCTTGCTTAAAAAACGTAAAACCCATAAACAAGTATTGTGGAAATATCTTAATGTTTATTTTTGCTACTGAAGATCCACCCAAGGTTAAGGACCGAGAGCTCATCGATGCATCTCACTTAATATTTTACGATAATGTAAATATTACAAAGGCTGAACTCTGCCAACAATTGTGGCTTCGCGTATTTAAAAGGATTATTTTTCTCCTTCTCTTCTTTTTACAAAGAGATTTTAAGGCAAAATTCAATTTCATTGCCAAAAGTCTAGAACATCCTTGGTTATGGATAAAACTTCAAAATTTGGGGTAAAATAATATTTCTTTAATAAAGCCTTAGTTAAGCGCTGAAGAAGATTAACTTAATTTTGGGGTAAACTAGTTCTGTGAGGATTGCTTCCTTCTTTTTAGGGGGAAAAAGGGTATGAAACCTTAACTTTTAGCAAGGATAGGCCAATCAAGGTGCTAAAAAAGAGGAGAATGATACTGAAATTAAGTAAGCAACTGACTGAGGAAGTGTATGGGGTAAACCTCACTGACAAAGGCAAGACGTTTTGGAGGTGTTGGAATTAGCCTTGGTCTGTCTCAGTTACGAATTAGCAGCATCTCTTGAAAACTATTGAATTTATATTCAATCGTACCTTCAGGGTTATTCTGCACTTCATATGCTCATCTCTAACTGTTCATTTACTTTCTTGAAGGATAACTGATCATTGTTATGGGACAACATAGTTATAGTGTTGTTTTTTCGTACCCTACCAAGGATGTTCAAGGATGATTAATGCCTGAGTCCAGCAATGTTCTTTTTTTATGTTTAAAAAAAATAGGGGGGNGGGGGGGGGGGGGGATTTCGAATTTCTGCGATACAGATCGTCGTCTTGGTAGTTCCACCATTGATATTTTCTTATTAATTCTAATTTTTTAGACTGTTAGGAGACCCTTGTCACTGAGAACTGGAACAAAAATAACATTGATAACTACAAATGACTAGTCCCTCTTCTCAAGAAAGGCCTACTATTAACAGGATTTTGGCGAGGTAGAAAAATTAAAGAGGATGCTAAGGCTAATCTCACAGGGGCATTTTTACCACCCGGAAGACGAATGAAGATAGTACTGACTGCTGCAAGTCCATCTTCAGTAGGCTCGATAGCCACTGGGCCTCCAGGATGCCGGTAGCGTGATCTTCTTCTGTGGTTGGGGGAATGCCTACTTGACTGTAGCAACAGGTTAACTGAAGCAAACGGTCTTTTAGCCATGTGTAACATTTCCACAACATGTCTTCGGCGCGCTCTACGTAAATCTGCAGCCTGCTTAGCTTTCCAGCCAACAACACATCCAGCCAGGAACAAAAAGAAGCAAGAAAAAAAGACTGAGAAAAATACAAACAGATCAATATGTAGCTGGTCTTGTCGGAAGAAAACTGTTCCGTAAGCAGCTTGGTAGGGAGGTCCTGTAGCAACGAGAGCTAGATAGAATCTCGTTGAGCCAAGATCGTGTCTGTCATGAGGTAAAGTCAGGACCAATCTGTCACTAAGATTCTTCAGGATCAGGAATGTGTTGCGTTGATTCAAAGTTATGAAAGTTGCCAGACTATCGGCTGACCTTTCTAGCATGCTGTAGGGTTGATTCGGGTACCAATTTCCATTTGTCAAGTTTGAGCTGTCGGACTCAATAAAATCTTTATCTTCTCCACGACGCTGAAACCTGAAATTAACGAAGAACAAAAAAGATTATGAGCTGTACTGTTGTTTTGGAGGGATTTTTCTAGAAAATAATAAGCGATGTAGGTTTTGCAGCATGGAAAAAGATTTTTTTTTTTCAAAGTGATAAGTATAAAAACAATTGTGCTAATATATTTTCCTGTCACACTATTATTTTTCGAATATTCACTGACAAACATCATTAGAATTAAGTAACTTTAAAATACTTAAAAATGCAAAATTGGGTATTGACATTTTAAATATTAGTATGGTTAAAAAAAATTTTAAGATTTAACTACATGTGCCTATCCGCTCTACCAGTGAAAGGTGCTGAAACGTGCTTCTGTGGAGAACATCTACAAAGCTCTGAGGATATTTTACACAAAACCAAATCTTCACTTGATAGATGGAGGTTGTCTTTCTCCCTTGTTTTCTTGCGCTCTCTCAGCAAAGGTGAACCTCGTAATTGACAATTAGAGTGAGGTAAAACTTTAAGTGGGTAGTTTATTGGAAGAACGTTATAAGAATGAAAATCAAATAAGAAAGGCAACTGTCCATTACACAATGTTTATAGAACTTGGAATTACTTAGTCAAATAGGAAAGAGCAAAATACTGAAAATGAAAAAAAATCTTGGACTTGATAGAGATTGCAAGAAGGAAAATTAATAGATATCATATATAATGCAAATAGAAGTTATAGGACTTTACCTAGGATCAAATAATATGGAGTGTGCTCCTGAGGTAGCGTTAATATCTACGATGAAAGTGTCATCTCGAGGAGACAAGTACAGATCAACACTTCCCTGAGTTACATCAACGGTAAGTCGGATATCCACGTTCATAAATCTTGGCTGTACAACAAAGAATACCTAGACAAAGAAAATGAATGATACTTGATGATTCAGTATATTGGCCAAGAATAATTCAATTCAAACATAGATAGAGAGAAATAACTGGAAGTGAATTGGTGAATTTTAGTAAAATTCACTTTCAATTCTTATCAAGAATCAATTCAATCAATTCTTATGAAATCAAGAGAAAAAACAGAAATAAAGGCGAAACTAGCAGAAGAAGCAGGGTAACAAACTGTGAGCTGGTTGAATAAAAAAGAAAAGAGAATCCGAAAATTAAGAAAGTCTAACTCGAGGCATTTACTTGAATTTACTTTTTTAGTTTGAATTTTTAATTTTTTGATTCTCTTTTCTTCGTTACACATAATTCTTGGTGGAATCATGGGCAAAAAGAATAAATTAGGCTCAATCAATTGAGACTTAATTACTTTTTCAACCCGGACTTATAAAGTTCATAAATACTGGTGGGCTAAAAAGCATTAATTTTTCAACATTTTCTGATCTCAGTACTCCACAAAACATTTTTTTTCAGGCATAAATTGTTGAAACACTTCAAAAAGGTTTAGGAAAGCTTCTTACAGCTAAAAAAATTTTTGAACTTGTGAAACAAGACAACCTTTGAGAAATTTGGCTTATGATAACTTGCAAATTCCTGATGAAAGAAGGGTAAAAAAATTTCCTCTTGGCAAATTTCATGAAGTGGAAAATGATCTGTGAAATTTAAGAAAGTTTGAATAAATATCGATGGCATAGGTCTGCAATCACATATCTCGTTTGCTGTGTCTGCAAATCTCCGCCTCTATGTTATTTTTTTAAAGGAGAACGAATTGGCATGATTCCTTGAAGTTTCTGCAGAATTTTCTTTGCACAGAGAAGAAAAATCATGGCAGTTCTAAAGAATTGTCGTTGAGTAGTTTTCCGTTTAAAAAATAAAGTATGATAGGAAGTCTGCGACGTCGCAAACCGAGTTATGTGATTGCCAACTTACACGGACGCTATGTAACTTAAAACTGAGGTCCACTTACAGAATGTCCAGGGTACAGAGGTTTTGGCTTCATCTTGCAGTCTTCTATTAATTTGGTGTCAAGGCAGAATTTGAGATCGACACTCATTTGTTTGTAGCACTGGTGACCATTAGTCGGAGTACCCATGAAGCTTTCTCGGCATTTGGAACACTGCAACTGCCAACACTTCATGTTGGATCTTGGGTTAGCCTGACAACTTGGATCTGACTCCGTATTATTTTGGCAATTGCACTTCTCACCAGTGACAGGATCACAAATACTACCATGGCCATGGCACTCACAAGGCCTGCACGGCTCCCGCAGATCATCTGTTTCTCGGAAAAATCCTTCCACACAAGTGTCACATTTGGCACCAGTTGTATTGTTGGCACATTCAACACACCTTGCGTGCATTGTAGGACCCTCTGCTAGGAGAGCCTCAAGGCCGTCAGGACCAAATGGAAAGGAGGTAATACTATCATTTATACATACATGAGTGTGGCCATTGCAATAATCAACACATGGCACACACTCTCCATTATTGGTTGGGTCACCGACAAAATATGATTTGCACTTCTCACACTGAGGACCGACAGTGTTATTATGGCACTCCAAGCATTTGTTCAACTGATCCGGACCTGCACAATTTGAATGACCGTTACATTGGCACTGAATGCTGCAGTTTGCACCGACGTATCCAAAATCACATTGACATTGGTTCGGCTTGACGCAGACACCTCGAACGCAACCTTGACTGCATACAGGAACGCACTCAACTCCGTTAGACTTGTATCCATGGCCACAAATGCAATGAAATCCACGTTCTTGATCCACACACTCCTCACTAACGTTATCGCAAGTGTGATGATTGTTCAGGCATTCATTTTCAGGAGGGCAGCTGACATAGTGCCAAGAGAAGACGTCCTTTTCGCTAATGGCTGAACTTGTTTTTGGCTCAACTTGTTGATAGTACAGTAGGTCACAAGTAGATTTTTCCGGACCAGAGGCAGGGCTGGTCAAAGACCCATCAGTGCAAACACCCTGAAATTTAGGAAATTCAGAATAAAATCAGAGAGAGAGAGAGAGAGTCAACTTGATTAATGACAACAGAAACAGACACAAAAATACTCAATAATACATGATTAATATTTTGTTACTAAGCAAAAAGGCCACAATTTTTCGATTTTATTCTGTTAATATTATGCTGCCCAGTAGAATTTTTGTTCATTTTGTCAAAATGAGAATCATGGAATGCAACATTAGTATAGGACAGTAGCTTCACAGACGAAAAGTTGTTCATTAAGTTCAAATCTTACTTCATTCAAGAACTGCTTAATGTTATTATTTTCTGCATTACTCACCTTTCAAACTGTAAATTCAATTGAATTTCCACATTCCTTTTTTCATAAGTTTGTAAATGGACAGAGAAGTTTGGCATGTCAAAAAACTGTATGCTGAGAAACCATTTACGAAAGCTTAAATAAACAAAAGTGATTTTTAGGTCCACCTATGTTCCACACGATTCTTAAGAGGAGTTAAAAATTTTAACCCCACAAAATTAGTTTCTTCTGATCAAGAAAATTACCATAAATTTTAGATCCCTGCCGGCTACCATTCAAAAGATCAGCCGCTCTGGGGCTATTCCTACACCTGTGCAACTGACATTTAATTGGCTTCACGATTTGTCAGGAAACAATTTTGAGGTCTGACTTACAGGCCTGTGTGCAATTATTTACATTGCTCTGTGATAACAATAAGAGATTTTTTAAATTTAGCCTGATAATGTTGTGCATTTGTGCAAGCTGGTCTTAAATAGGAGGCTTCATTATTTGGTTCCACAACATGAGAGACGATTTTACCACACTGAAAAAAATTTAAGAATCAAATAAGGTAGCAGCAATAAGGATTATTGTTGAGATTCAGTTAGTCGGTCATCACCTGTCCAGTGGTGTTATCTCGGTGGAGAGAGCACCAACCACAGTGCGCATGGCGTAAACAGGTGGCACACTGCGTGTAACTTGCGCAAGCTTGAGGGCAATGTTCACTTTTGCCTCCGCTAAGAACAAGGCCGCACGTTCCCCCAGTGCAGTACATTTGTTGAACGGTTGGAGAGATACATTCATTTAGACCTGTTGACCAGCGACATTCATGCCATCCTCCTTCTCCTCCCTAATTGTAAGAAAAATCAATTATACGTTAGAATTTATTCTCTTTAATGACTGCATTGAAGGGACATTATGAAGGGAAGTGAAAAGCCTGTTAAAAGAGCATTACAAAATGAGTGGATAAACTTTACATTCCATAATGGTTTGGATTTTACCATCAAGGTATGTGCTTTTATCATGAAATCAAGAAAAGAGAGTTAACGCATTTCAGAAAGATTACAGCAGAATCCCCATCCATTCAAAATTAAATTCACATCTCCATTTACTTTTTTCTGACAAAACAGTGACCAACATCCTAATTTATCCGACGAGGTAGAAGACTTTTACAAACCTGAGAGCTTAAGCATTCATCGCATGATTTGTGATCGGAGCATTTTGCAGGGCATTGACCACCGGACTTGATTTTTATACTAGATCGTTCTGTGAGATCTTGATTGGCACAGTTCCAGTCAAAAACAGGTTCAGCAGATAATTTTGAACCAGAATCCATTGTTAGCAGAATTTGTCTGAAAACGAAAGTAACCATTATCCGTCATGCGCTGCATTTGATAACATAGATGGGCGAATTTTAAATATTTTACAAACAAATTTTAAATGTATTAGGTACCAGGCATAAAATTATCAACATTCAAAATATATATTTAATTTATTCATGAAAAGATTCTCTTCCTGTAATTGTTTTTTTAGCTACTAAAGCTACAAAAAATATAGGTGAGAGAATTTTGAAGAGTTTTTTTTTTCTCAAATATCAATGGTAATGCAGTCAATGTTTATTGGTGTTTTAACCTTTTTTGATCAAATCTAAAAATCCTCCATCACACAACTTTGAATAAAAAACAATTTAATTTCACAGGTAAAAATCTGATTTTTTTTATCTTGCTTGTTTTATTTTTGTCTCTATCTTGCATTTTTTTACGATTTTTGACTTGCCTTGGGAAATTACATAATGATTTCATCAGACTTATTGGGTGGACAATTGGGTATTGCATTCACTAAAGCAATAAAAAAATCGAAGACAATGAGTCATTTTAATTCAACATACATACCTTGTCCAAAGACAATTTCCGAGAGACATACAGTCATCGCAATCAGAGGCAGCACAAGAATTCTCAGGACAAAAAGTTGGGTTGGAGATCGCTCTTTGGCGACACTTACTGTCTTTTTCACACAGACTAGAATCATCTACACAATGACCTTTTCCACCACAGTTAGAGCACCACTTGCAAACTTGCTGTAAATTGAAGAAAGAATTGGATTCTAAGAAACAGAGGAGGTACATTACAATCATAGGAAACTGGATCAGATTTTACCACAGAATTCGTAACCTAGCTAAAAGTCAATTTTTTGATTAATAGAAAACGAACAAGTATATTGCTCTAGGACTACTTTGAATTTATACTGAACTTAAAAAACTTAAAGCTAACATTTTCACTCAACGAAGTTCCATGCCAGATACACTGCGGATATGTTAGCTTTATTTACATAATAATTGATTTTATAGCAAATTTTGCACTTCTCCTTTTTTCTAGTTCACAGCCAATGCGATTAAAAGACACTTACCCGTTTTTCATGAGGCCACTGAGCCAAACATTGGGAACAAGTCGTGTACTGAGCACAAGTGCGATGTGTTAACCATTCTGCATTACAAACTACCCCATTACTAGTGGTTAGAGTTCCATTATGATTTTGACAAGGGTCCACTGTCACTCCCATATTTGAGTAACAATAGTTGATGTCTGTGCTAACAATTGCACAATATGAGCAGCCCAGAAACAATCTGAAATAAGATAAAAGACATTAAGGCTCAAAATTATTTACATTTGAAAAAAAAAAATTCAATTCATCTACAACTCAGTAGGTTTATAAATTAATAACTTCCATTGAAAAGCTTTGGGATGTAAAGGAAAAAGTATGATTCACACAAAAACATCAAGACTAACCTGCACTTTTCCTTGTTTTTCCACAGCTGACAAAGATCCGCTGGTAAAGTAATTCTAGTGACTGTGCTCCTGACTGTCCCACTGAAGCCATCCATTATGTAAATCACTCCTGACTCTACATCTCTAGTCATGGCTGGTGCATAAGTGTTTCTAGGGATTGCGCCAATTATTTCGACATCTGAAAAGTTTGAACAATTCATACGTGAAAATAAACATACTAACAAAATGAGCCGCACATGTTAATAATCAATTAGATACTTCATTTTTAGAGGACTAAAAGCCCTAAAAACTCCTCAAAATTAATCAATTTTGATAATGAAGACTATTCATTTGCTTTTAAAATGATCATCCAAAAATGTATCATTTGCAGAGAGATGGTTACTAGGGTCAAATAAAACTTTTATTTATTTATTTTTCAAAGACCTTTTTTTGATCTTTCATGAGGAATGATGGATCTCACTCACTGAAGGATTTTAGCTACAACAATTTTTCGAAAAAGAAAAAAATACATTAATACTATTAATAGCATTGGAATTTTGACATTGCAGGATTATAGGTAATACAATTATGCTTTCCGCTTGCAAAAAACCCTTATCAATGCAGGCAAAATTAAGCATTGAAATCAACCTATATGTCAGGCAAATAAAAAGAGTTTCGTTTCACACACGTATTCCTTCCTCTTCTGATACAAGGTACCTTTAATGTTGGTTAAGGCGGTAATAATAAATTATTTAAAAAATAAATTTTACTTACCCTTAGATAGGAGTCGAATCCACTGGTTACAAGCATAAGAGTAAGCCAAAAGTGAATCTGATGTTTGATATGGACCAAGACGACCTCCAAAGACCAGCATATATTCATCTGTTGTGACCGCTGCATGTAAAAATCTTGGTCCAGGCTATAATAAAGAAAAGAAGAGTTGTAAATAATTAAAAACTGGCAATTACATTCCCACATACCCAACATAATATTGGCTCTGTTACACCCGGGACTACAAAACTGAACAAATCAACTAATGAGTTGAATGATTTGGATGCTTAGATCTCTGCTGGATAGAAACTTATGGCCAAGATTCATAGTGAGTTCAAATTCAACCAGCAAAAAGCATGAAAAGGCGCTAGTGCTTTGGATGACAAGGATAAATAGAATTTTTTCGACATAAATGACCATGAAAGGCTATTTATGTGTGGTTAACAATGGCAAGTGCCTAATTACATGATCTGTACCTAAGCACATAATCTAGAGGTTGACTAAAAACCTCTCAATGACATTCAATACCTCTTGTTGTGATTAGAGCAGCATCTGAAAGGCAGGTATTGCTTGGTTAGGGGGGGAGCATCATCTATTTGGGTCATGCATTTTTTGGTACGTAAAAAAAAGAAAGAGGAAAATAATTTTTTTCTTTCAAAAAAAAAAAAAAAAGACAGATAAAAATGGGGATCCCTTAAGCAGAAAATTACTGCATTTAATAGTATACCAATCAATGAGTGTGCGAGTTGGTAATTTTTGCCTTTGAAAAATAAAAAAATTTTATGAGAAACTTACCAAATGAGACTTGAGGGGGTATTCTTCAAAGGTGGGTAGGACAGACCATGAGTTGGTGGGTCGATAAAAGACGAACATTTTGTCAGAAACTATTGTTTTGTTTACATCATACAAATACCCTCCAAATACATACAAGCTGGATGTTGGTGAGTGGAAAACAGTGCTATGGCCGTAGACAGCTATGGACAAACAACAAAATAAATTTCAGGTGAAAAACGAGAGTAAATTTTGATTCATTAGGATTTTCCTCCTCTCATCTATCTGCCCATCACCTTACTTCCAACTTTCTATGGTCGGATGATACATTTATTCATCAGATGACCATATGAGTAGTATTTAATCAGAATTATGAATTTTAGAATCAGAGAAATAACAGGGAGAAATCGTAGAAACCAGTGTCTCATTTGAGTAGTTTGCAATATTTCAAAACCTCCGCTCTTATTTTATTTTATCAAAAGAAAATGAGGAACTATTGTTGTTCGAAATTTTCACAGAGTACTTTCAGTCAAAGAAAAGAGATGAAGGAAATTTTCCAGTCATGACATTAATTATTTGTTCATTTAGAAAATAAATCATGTCAAGAGGTCTGCAATGTTGCAAATAGAGGTAAGCCTTTTTGCAATTATACTGTTGGTAAATTAACTCAACTTGCCATATTCAAATTACTGTTTTGGTTTTAAATATACATATTTTGTTTTATTTTTCTTAGCTTAATCATAAATTCAATTAATAAAATCACTAAAATTATTCAATACTCTGGTAGAGTATTCTTCATCAAAAAGTAAAGAAAAATATAGATAAGCTACCTACTTGAACAAAAATATCACCTTAGACACAACGGCTAGAATTTTGAAGTCAAAATATTTCATTAAATTTGGCAGATGAAATTTTAGATTTTCAGTTGTTCTTATCATAAAAGGTAACAATTGTTCCATACCTGGAGATCGAATGCCAGTTGTATTCAAGCGTTGCCATCGATTTTCTGCCAAACTATATTCCCAAACAGACCGCAGAAAACCAGATTTAGCAGAATAGCCACCTATGATTATTAAAGATTCGGTTTCTCCATCTTTGTACAAAGTTAAGGTGTGCCCAGCAAGAGATGGTGGTGAAATGTTATCTTTCTCCGGCTGAAAAGACAAAGATTTACAATGAAAACAAATTAAGAACAATTGAGCCTTAAAAATATTCTGATATATAAGAAAATGAAGCTAGAGAAGAGAAAAGTGAGATTTCTTTGGTCTCCTGCTGAGACTTTTTAACTTCATTTATTTTAATTAGATGGATGACGAGAGTCAAGTATCTAAAAATTTTGCTGTTAAAAATGATTTCTTTGTTATAATAATAGATTGATTAAGCAAGATAAATGTTAATTATTCAATAAAGTATTTCTCTCTTATCTTTCCCCAAATAAAGAGAAAATTTACAAAAAAGACTGATTGGGAACATGAAATAAAAGCACATTCGCATCAAATAAGGAGAATGGCTTTGATGCTGGCAGTTGTTGAGCTGACAACTAACCTCAATTGTCCAACGCTGGTTTTTCAGGTCAAATTTCCAGAAATCTCCGAGAGTGCGATTCTGCCTGCTTTCTTTTTGAGTTAGCCCCCCGTACACATAAATCTCTCTTTGAGATTGCACGATTGCTGCCGCATGAAAATAACGCCCCTGGGGCATGTTGGCATCATTTGTGCTATCAATGGTGACCTATTCAAAATAGATACAGATGTTTATTCAATTACGTATTATATAGAATGGAAAAAATACAGCGATTGAGTAGAAGAGCAGCACAGGGGGTTAGAATACTTTGTCCTTTGACTATTTGAATTTTGTAAAAATTAGTGGATATTTTCTTCCTTTTTAAAATATTGTTTGGTGTTATAGGTAGGAAAATTGTGAATGTATGTTAAACAATTTTTTTTCACAACGGTTGCATGAAAAATTACTATTAGTAAAGTGTAATTGTTGTTGCTTGCGCTGTAACTCATAGAAATCAATCTAGCGCATACAGACATGTTTTGAGTCAACACAGAGGCTCATCATCAGCTACTAATAAGTAGCAGCTTGAATGAAAACTCAATTTACACAGTGCTCTTTTCAATGCAATCTGGTGTAAAAAATTCTGGCATTGTGTTATGTAGACTTTTCTGCAAAATAAAGAATTTAAGGTGGATCGAATAAAAATTTTTGGATTTGTAAAATAATCTTTTTCAAAAGGAGGAATCACCGTATAAAGTAGGAATATTAATAAATCATTTGATGGTAATGAACTAGGTATAAATTCACCAAAAAAGGCCATAAACTTATCTAAGACCGAGTGCAACCAATTTCTAAACAAACTTCCAAATTTATTTAAAGACACTCTTAAAAATAAGATAGCATTATTTCCTGAGGTTCTTATTTTATTCGAAAGAGTAAATTGTTATCTAGTGTAAGAAGTTTGGTGAATTCCAGCTGGTCAACTCAACACATTTTCTTTGAAATAGTAGAAAAATAAAAATTCAGAGAATAAATCGAGGAAAAAGATAAATTTTTAGTTAATTTACCTGCATCCAAGTATTATTTCTAGTATCAAACATCCGAATATCATTGAGTGGTCCATGGGATAAAGAAAGGCCTCCAAATAACCAAAGCTGACCCCGAGAAGTTACTAATGAATGACCGAATCTTGGTAACATTTTTCGCCAATGTTCAAGACTATCTACAATATGTTCCGAGCTGAATAATTCTGTGAATGTTAGTTGAGAGCTGGTGATAGGACTCCCACAATCAGTTCCGCCAAAATTCGGAGAGCAAATGCATCTTCCATAAACCTAAGAAAATTGAAGATTAAGAAATGAGGTACATAGGAGTTATAAACTACTGACAGATATTAAATGTTTTATTCTCAGTCAAATTGACTGAGCTGTATGTATTAAGTATTTCCCCTCCTGTTTGTGTGGAGGCAATTAGGGTGCTAAAAAAATTGCGAAACAATCACAATGGGTAGTTCCTTTTGGTTGACATAGCTACTTGACAAACATTTTATTACAACAAAAATGAATGATTTAAATTGCTGATTTGAATGTTTTTAATTGAACAGTTTATGATTCAAATTGTTTTCATATGAGAACAACTTGTAATCTGTTGCTAGAGCTAATATGGGGGTTGGCATTTTGATAAGATTGCTGAAAAACAAAAATAAGCATGTAGGCTAGTCTAATATTACCTTCCAATATGTAGACTTATGGATAGAGTAAGAACTAAGGCACTTTCATGTTTATTCCCTCATTAAAATTCCCTGCATGATACAATACATTTTTAAGGAGAGTTCGTAAAAAAAAATGAGTGACATATTTTAATTTTTTAGAGTTCGCAAAGATTTTCCAAAACTACATGATTAGTTTGATGGATTATCTGGCCTTGAATAATTTTTGCAGATTATGTAAATTACCCAGCCGGATAGTTTGCAGTACCAATGTTACAATCCTCTTTTAAGCATTATTTAAAGTTTGCGATGATCTAAGTGTATTGAGAAAAATGTCGATACTTACAGTATCACAAACGCCTTGCTTCAAGTGAGCACTACAATTGTTCGGACACATACTATTGGAGCAGAGAGGTCCGGTCATTCCTTGAGGGCATAAACACTGACCATGTCGACATTCACGGTTGTTCGGACAATTATCAGGACAGCTGAGGACTGTGTAAGTTGCATTGAACCCTTCGATTCCATCACCCCGCTTGTAATGAACTGTCATGTTTCCTATTGATATAAAAAATAGGGGTTATCTTTGAAGCAATAAGTAAGCAATAGGCATGGAGCAGAATAAGCGTCTTCTGTACACAGAATAAAAGGAAGCCACTGCAACTACTTTGAATTATAAAGCAGTTGCATCGTCCGGTTCATATTATGGAGAGCGATCCTGATATCAAATTACAAAGCATTGTGGTAGCGTGATTTTGAATTACAAAGTCAATTTACCTTCTAATCAGGGTGAATAATTGTAAATTAATGAGGAGAGATGGATACAGGGTTTCTATTCAAAACAATTTATTGCTCCAAAGAGATCTGATTTTCCTTTGTACTTGCGAAATTTTTGAATTTAAGGACTTAAATGTGGCAAGCTTGCACTGTACTGAAAATTTTGCCTCCAGCAGTTTCTTTTCTATTAATGGCCACAAATAGGTAAAGAATTATATATATCATTAAATTCTCGTTCATTTAACTTGTTCTTCCTCTCACTGATTACATACATGTAATCAACAGCAGACTTAGTTGTTGCCCTTGGTCAGTTGTACGTGATTAGCTGGCCAACAGCAAGTGCTTGGTATGTTTCTCAGTCACAGACAAGCTAACTGTGAATCTACCATTGAACAAGTCATGAGACGTTGACTTTGAGCCCAAAAAAAGTTAGCACTGGCGTTACCTCAATTACTAATAATGAGGATTGAGAGAAAAATTTTGCCAGCCAAAGAGGTTGTTCCATCCCCCATTAGATTTGGCCCCCTATCAGATATGATCCATCTTTTCAGGAGTGATACAGTAGCATGCGAGACGTTCAAATATGGCGGTCATTTTGACTTAGGCCCCCCCAGAGAGGGGGGGCGGGGGGTCAAAGTCAAAACCTTCAACTGCCTATAACTTTTGAGCGAAAAATCGGATTGAGTTGAACTTTTTTTTAAATGAAAGATCTCAAAAAGATCTATCTGCTGATACCAGAAAAATTGAAAAAAAGTTAAATTTAATGCAAATTTTTAGCAATTTTTCAATTTTTTAGGGGACAAAATTTTTAATTTTGTCGTGTTTCGGCACCGCGCAATGACTCTACTAAAACAAAAACCAGTTTTTTAGATTCTACACTTAATTTCCTACAAGATGCAAAAAACCGCATCTTGGGGAAACGTTTAGATCGTGAGCTATGGCTCGTCAAAGTTAGCCCCGCGCTGAGCGCGCGCGCCCTACGCTGTTCGCATATCCTCTGCGCGTCTGCCACCGATCCTGTTGCCCCTCCTCCCCCTTCCTAAATGCAAATTAACATTCTACTACCCAGCTTTCGTATATATCTGCGTTATAGGTACGTGAAAATTTCAGCAAGTTCGTGATTTCCAGTGGAATTGATGCTTTATTTCGCTCCCCCCCCCACCCCGGCCACTGTGCTCCAAATATTGTGCAAAAAAGAAATATATAAATTTTCTTGTTTCATGTTTTTGCTGATGTAGCACCCTGTGACAACGAGATCGAATTGAGGTAATTTTTTATCCCACCTCCCAACCACTTTTCGGTGTATTGAGCGTTTACCATTCATGAGAGGCCGACATTGTTATGGGTATTCATAATAGGCTGCTGAGGAATTAAAAAATATTTCGCACGATTTTTCTCTACATAGCTTTGAGAAATATAAAATGATTTCGTTGTTGGCAGGGGCACACTTCAGTGCCAGTGGCCGGGTTGGGGGGGGGGAGCGAAATAAAGCATCAATTCTACTGGAAATCACGAACTTGCTGAAATTTTCACGTACCTATAACGCAGATATATACGAAAGCTGGGTAGTAGAATGTTAATTTGCATTTAGGAAGGGGGAGGAGGGGCAACAGGATCGATCGATCGGCAGACGCGCAGAGGATATGCGAACAGCGCAGGGCGCGCGCGCTCAGCGCGGGGCTAACTTTGACGAGCCATAGCTCGCGATCTAAACGTTTCTTGTAGGAAATCTTGTAGGAAATTAAGTGTAGAATCTAAAAAACTGTTTTTTGTTTTAGTAGAGTCATTGCGCGGTGCCGAAACACGACAAAATTGAAAATTTTGTCCCCTAAAAAATTGAAAAATTGCTAAAAATTTGCATTAAATTTAACTTTTTTTCAATTTTTCTGGTATCAGCAGATAGATCTTTTTGAGATCTTTCATTTAAAAAAAAGTTCAACTCAATCCGATTTTTCGCTCAAAAGTTATAGGCAGTTGAAGGTTTTGACTTTGACCCCCCGCCCCCCCTCTCTGGGGGGGCCTAAGTCAAAATGACCGCCATATTTGAACGTCTCGCATGCTACTGTATCACTCCTGAAAATATGGATCATATCTGATAGGGGGCCAAATCTAATGGGGGATGGAACAACCTCTTTAAAATATTCTTGGAGCAGCCGCAAAAGCACTGGCAGCTGTTGCACGGCAAAATACATTTTACTTCTTTAGGCATCAAAAACGCTACTACAAACCTGATTTAGCTTCAACAATAACAGGATACTTAATATCCTGCGTGCAGAACACCCCGAGAGTATCAGACCTCTGGTGAATGCCTGTAGTGGATGCAAAATCAGGAATACCATCGTAAATGTAGACACTATTTTCTCCACAGCTCACAGTGATATCAGGGTCTATCGTGAGCTGTATAATCGCCCTGGAGAACAAACGAGGGAAAAGTGGTATCATAACAAAAATGCGACACTGTTATAAATGTGGTCTTACAGTTACATTTTAAAAAAGCTGCTAAAACACTCTTCTTGCACCATCTTTGTTAGCTTCAAAAATAATTTATTTCTGAAAATAAATAATGTTAAAATATTTATATTAGTTTTGTGATTAACATAATATTTAACAATCAGAAACACCAATATTTATTGATCATTGTTTAAAATTCAGTCAAATACACATGTTAAGTGAATTTTAAACATTAGGCTTGATGCTCAAAAAAAAAAAAAAAAAATGGCAATTTTGTCTTTTTAACCAGATTTCATGATATTCTTTTTCATCTATTTGATTTTTTTTTTCTGATTTAAAAAGACAATAGATCAATATCTTCAATGTTTTTCATTATTACATTTAAAAATATTAGGTGAACTGAGCGTAAAAAAATGCTGTGTTTTTTTTTACTTCTCCTTGTTGAAAATAAGGAGAAGATAATTCTTTGTTTTTTTTTGACAACTACCCTTCGTGAAATTAATTTCAAAATTCAAGAGACTGAAATAGCTGAAAACACGGCTGAATTGGCGTTTATATTATTACTGGTCATTTTTGTTTGTTATTTGTGGTACTAAAAAAACATCACTAAACTTACAATGTAATGTTATAACTTACTAAACACGTGATGGTATTGAATTTTTCCCCCTCTTTAATAAGGCATTCAGTTTTTAACTAAATTTTAGCACAAGTTGGAAAAAAACCAACAGTATTTAAACATGAAGGCAGCCAAGGAAAACTAGAAGAAGAAATGAAGATACTTACGGCTGATTAGCAGAATTGTTAGGGCTGATAATCCACAAGCATTCTCGTGAGGGTAGTCCTTGACGACTTTCCCAGGCTGTCATTTCAGCTAATCTACTTCCGAGACCTTGAGGGCCTTTCCCACTTAACATTCCTCTTGCCATACACTGATAAAAGCATGTTCCTCCGCGCCTATATTTTGCGAAATACAAATGCGCATGAATTATTAAAATTAGAAAAGTAAGATCCATTTTCTGAAAAGCTAGGGAAAGGAGGTACAAAGACAGAGACAAAATACCCTTGAGACCATTGACAGTGATTTTGTTTTTTCTTATTTATTGTTCTTTTTTCATTTATTCTTTTTCAGTTGTAGAAGTAGTGGTATTATATCAGATTCATTAGGCTGTAAAGCATCTGATGGCTATAAGGCACCTTATCATCTAAATAAATAATAATAAATAAATATTTCCATCGCAGAAAAAATTGTGAGAGAAATAAAGCTACTAACGCTCCATGATAAAAACCAGTCATGTTGTTGCTATACTCATTTCCTCTGAATCACTGCAGCATGATAATTCATTTCTTGCAAGGATTTAAAGACAAGGCAATGATTTAACAAATGAAATAAAGATTAACTTCTGGAAAAAATAATAAATTTACAATGTCTCTGAGATCTAATGATTCAAATGAAGGTAAGTCTAAATTCTTAAAATTTTAGATTGGTGGTAGATGATGAGAATGAAAATATTGAGGAAAAAGACTTACTTGGGATTTCCATAGTATCCTTTTTTACACCTATCACAATTTTCACCTTCAGTGTTGTCTTGACAGAAACAAGCTCCACTGGTAGAGTCACAAACACCAAGAGATGTATCGCCATGCCCATTACAGTTACACCCTCGACATCCTTCCAGAGTTGTTGCGTTCCCATAACTCCCAGCTCTAGAGAAAAACAATAAGGAATTAATGTCAATTCTAGAGGCAGTTCTTTCACTAAGGTTCTCTATAACACATCTTTATGGGCTTTATGGAAATATAATATTGATTTCTTCAATATGTTTTCTTGGCTCTTTTAAGTGAATCTTCAAGCTGTCTAAATAGCTGTATGAAATTTTTACTCGGAATTGTAAGAGGTCAAATTAAACAGTTTTACAAGTAGCATGCAAAAATTGGTACTGACTTGCAGAGTTGGCAAAATTGTCCAGTGGTCCAGTCATGGCATTCATCGCAAATACCAACTCCCCGCGTGCATGTTGAATGGTTGTTACAACCGCAATTAGTACCACAGTCTGGCCCAGTCCATCCCAGATCACACTGGCAAACAAAAGCTGGGGCACCAGAGCAATAACCATTGATGCATTTATTGTAACACCTGTAAAAAGTAAGAGAGTCATAGTAACTGGAAATGGAGAGAATCACAACAAACAAGACTTCATGTTGAAGCACAGGTAGTCATGGTCAACTCCTGCTACGTGATAACCCATAGAGATTAGAGCTCTGTACTCACTTGGCGAAGTTTCTCACATGAACAAAATTCCCATATTTCTGCAATGTAATTTCACATGCTGCGTTGAAGCACATCTGCAAAGTCACTTCTGGACAATCATGAACCCTTAGACCTCATCTCAAAACAGTGTTTGAAACTCACCGTCAAGTTTCAGGAACCAAAGGGCTCATCATGCTTGATTTTTAGGGACCATTGAAGATTTTTTAGAGGCCAAATTGACTTTTTACCTATATATTATGACGCACTTAGTGAAAAGTCAGAATCCGGTGTCGTGCGTCTAACTTTAAAACAAATCGCCAAACAGAAAAATTAGGATTTTCTTTTTGAGGGGGGGGGAGGGGCAATTTTTAGGGCCCTGTTGGCACAGAGCCTTCATTTTTTAGGCGCCATGACCGATTTCTTAGGCGCAATTGGCGCCTGTCAGTTTTGAACACTGTCTCTATAGCTCTGTGCTCCTATCTTACCCAGGAATGCCAAGTCAGTCTGCCTTGGATTTAAAAAAAAGAGTGCCAAAATGTGATGGAGACTGACACCAATCCAATGGTAGGAGTAAGTTATTAGCCTACTCACATTTCACTGATAATATGATTGATATAGTGACTGCAAAACTTGTATGCAAAATTTTGGTAGAAAGGATTCTCTTTGCGCCAGAGTACTTCTTTAGAGTGCCTGCAGTCTAAAATCAGTTGAAATATTAAGAGTTGATAAATTTTAGGATTTTATCAACAAAATAAATGAATATGATGCGCAATGCCCTGATACGAATGTTATCATTGCAGTAGTTAGGGCAAAACTTACGTTTTAGTGCAAGATGTTTTTCCGTCACCAATAAAGCCTCGCCGACACTGACAGGTGTAAGAGCCATGTGTGTTGGTGCATTTTGCTTCTTCATGGCAATCGTGAAGACCAATTGCACACTCGTCAACATCAGGACATGTCGCATATGCCCAACGCGCCTCATCTTCTAAGACTGTCACATTGTGAGCAGCACTTACCACAACTGCACATGATTCTGAAAATCAAGATAATTAAACCAATTAGAATTATTTTGAACAATTTTGTTCCTGGAAAATCTGACAGAAAATGACAATGATACTTCAGAGTCACACTGCAAGAAAAAAAATAATCTTTACAGAACAGATCGGATGATGAGAAACATTATAAAGGGATGCAGTAGAGATATTTATAATCAAGATGAAGATTTTGATTAGTCATAATTGGAGGGAGAATTTTTATAAAATATGGAGAGGGTGGAAAAATCAAATTATGTAGTTAACTTGGAGACGCCAATTTTTACACCGTTGATGGGAAAGAGTAAATTGATTAAAAAGGCTCAATTAAAATGGACTACATTTCTACGGCAGAAGTTTTAAAAATAAAATAGAAATATTTTTCTTCAATTTTGATTCATTTTTGTACAGAAATGATTGCAACAAAATTTTTTGTTTGTCTCTGTGGATACAATCAAGTTTTCTTAAATATGTACTGCTTAAAAAAAAGAAACCTAGGTAAATTCAAAATAGAGAATACATCCTTAAATTCCAGTAAAAAATAATCATAATTAGCTGACATAGAAATGTCTAACTGCTGACCAGCCAACAACGTATGGCTTTCAGATTTTCAAAATTAAATTTATTTAAATTTTTGCGAGTGACGTAGTCAAAAAGTCTCTTAAAAGGGGAAAACAAAGAGAAAAACCTGTCCAGACAGGTGAATTGCTTCAAGTTACCTCCGAATATAAACTAAGGATGCAGAATGTAAGTTATAAAGCTCAGTTTTCTGCTTAGAAATCTAAGAAAAAGACTTACGTATATGAGGCCGGCTAAAATCACCCGGTATGCAGACACCTTGGATTGGATTATCATAGTCATAACACCACCCACATCCCAAAGTGCGAAGACAAGTTGAACAGTTGGTATACTGAGAGCAAGCATCACACTGTGGTATATGAATCGATGCATTTCCAGAAATAGAAGTTGAAGATACAGCCCCATGATAACCTCGATCTTTCCATTCTCGGCACAGTCCAAACTGATATTCTGATGTGTAAAGTGAAAAGAGGAAACACTCCTGAAATGAAAATATTAAAGATTTAAATTAAAAGCAATCACATGCAATAAAGTCCAGAGCTTATTTACAAAGGGATTGAGTCGTAATCATTTTAAGAGAAGTTTAATTTATTGCAAAGGGAATTTTATTTGTCCTAAAGGAAAAAAGATGACAGTAATAGTAAGAAGGAACATCAGAAAGTAATAAATTAGAGAAGTATTAAGGAAAAAAAAAAAAAAAAGTTACATCGAATACTGACATGGGAGGGTTGTTCAGGGACACACGCTGTTATCAAACAAGATTGGAGAGGATAAGTGCTGGAATGTTCCACTAAAATGTTGTTGGCATGAACTGCCTTATAACTTGAGAAACATGGTCCAAAGACTATCAAAAAAGTCTCTGAACTTTGAAATGATCAATTAATAATTCGTTGTAAAGGGACTTCAAATGACAAACCTGTGTAGCTTGGCACCAGACACATCGGCCCCCAGTTAGACATTGAGTACAGTTCTTCCTTGTATGACAAGCAGGTGGGCATTCAGTGGCCGCAATTACAGCGCCAAACAGTCTGAAATTTAATGATATTATGTAATGAATAAGAAATAAAATTATATCCCTAATTCTAATTTTTTGGGGAATTATTGCCCACTACACCTTTTACTTGGTCTGGTGATGATGCATAAAATAAACGTTTTCTAGCTGGATCAAAAAAGCTGCATGTACAGCCTGGAGATAGGGATTTCCGAGCATTTAGTGATGGTATACCTGCAATGAATAAGGTGGAAGTATCTTTTAACCTTTATTACACCATAGGCAAGTTTACTCATCCCCTCTGTTCCGCACACTGTGAATGACAGACAGGTTGACTCTTTTTGTACCCTTGCCGACTCTGGGGCTCCACTATATTGATGGAATGAGACTTTTAATCTGCGTTATCTGTCAGTAAAGATGTGAACTATAACTCTGGCTTAATTTCAAAAGAATGCTAGCATTTTGCTGCATTGGAGAGGGGCTTAAAAAACTTGCAAGGTGCCATTTTTTTTCCTAATCTGGTTAAGGGGCAAGCATGACGAATCTTAACTTTGTGTTGAAAGGGTTATCAAATTGTTTACCAGTATTTCTTTGACCCGATTTTCAATACTCCTCATGAGATAAGCTAAGAGACAATTTTATTGTACTCACCTTCCTCTCCGGTCACACCGGGCATCGTCAGACCACCACTCACACAGATCAGTGTTTGTGCACGACTCGCAATCAATGTAGTTGCTACAGTTGTTACACATTGAAGGCAATAAGGTGAAGTGATGCCAATCTCCATTTTCGTTTACACACTCCAACGTTTCATTTGTACTCCTGGCATAGCATTTATTGTTGTGAGGGCACCAGGCGCAAAGAGCATCACTCAAACAAAGCATACAGTTGGAATACTCATTGCAGGTTCCTTTTTCATACGGAGCGAGATATTCAAAAGTAAAAACCTGAAAGAAAACCGAAGTTCAACTTTTCGTTAGCACAAGGTTGAATCATCTACTTTCAATTTAAACTAAGAGGCAAAAGCTTATACAGAAATAATGGGCAAAAATCAAATGAGAATCACTATGTGTAAATTTATTATTTTATTTTTTTTCTTTCTTTCTTTTATTTTTCATTTTTTTTTTTTTTGTAGATCAATGCAAGCCTGCCAAATCAGTTGAATGATTGAATTAATACTTTAAAATGACAGGTCTTTTGTGACCTAGATAAATACAGTAAGACCTCGATTCATTGAATTTCACCAGACCGGAGGCTGAATCCGTTAAATCGCGCTAGTGGGTCCCCCTGAAGGGATCGGAGGATCGATCCGTTAAATCGCAGACTCCGATAATTCAAGGTCATACTGTAAATGAAAAATAACATGTGCCAGACATGTGATACAACGAGGCATAATATGAAATTCACATCCATAGAAGTGCAACTCTTAAACATCTGTCCAGCTAGAAGGATAATAGCTATTACCTTTGGTGAGTCATGTGATTTGTTGTGTAACAGTTCCATTCTTGAATCACTGAGATAAGGACCTGCGACTGTATTATGTGATTGAAGGTCAATGAGAAACGGACCTACAGTGGCATCTGCAAACCATCTGACTTCATTGCAGTTTGGAATTTCTCCCAATAAATGCTCAAAAATTTCCTGGAAATCAAATTCAACAATAAACATTATGTGAAAATCAACGACCATTAACACGTCTGATGAGATTAAGAGAGGCTGATTATTTCTGAATTTAGAGGACTAAAAATTGGGTTTGACTTCAATCTAAGACAATTTCAATTTTTCTTTCGAGTAGCGTTCTCTAGGAGAACACGCTTTGTACGAGGACCACTCGCTGAGTCCAGTTCAGAAAAATGTTGAACTTTTTTTCAAATTTGACTTGACTTTTAATGACTAAAACTATGGACTGAAATCTATGCTTTCTGGGACTCAAGCAGAAATCGAGATACACCTTTTCGTCAGAGGAGCAACAATATCAGTCACTTCTGCAACTACAGTAAGACCTCGATTTATCGGCTTTCACGGGACCGGAGGCCGAATCTGTTAAATCGCAATCTGATAATTGGAGGTCTTGCTGTACAAGATGTTGCCAAACAGGGAGCATCTTTTAATATTTTATTTGTTAATTTCTGTTGGTTCACTGAATCACAGTTGAGACACACCTGTTCTGTGTTGAGTTGAATAACTTTTAGTGTTGCAGATGCATGTGAAACACACAATTTTACATGTTCATGGGCACTGTTCCAGGTGGTGGGGAGTTTCAGGAATCCTTGAAGACGAGTTACCATTTCTCCACCAAGAGAGAGCTCTGTCCTAGTCATTTGGTTTCCCTAAAAAAATGTAAAAAAAAATGAATGAAGAACAAAAAAATATCTAAGATCATTTTTGACATCGTGCTGAATGTTGTAGGATTTGTATTATACTACTAAAAAGCTTCGCCCTCTGGCCACTACAGGGCTTAACCTCTAGAGAATGCCTCATGCCTTTTAAGGGCCACTTTGCGGGTTCCTGTGAGTTAAGTTTCCAAAATCTGAATAGAGCAGGCTCATCATAGAAATCGGCCTCATAGAATGATAACAAACAGGGACAAAAAATGAAAATTTAAGGGGTCAGAGAGGTTATAATAATGATAACGATGGCCAAAGTGCAAAACCTTGTATCTTGGCTTGCAACATTGCAGACTTCCTGTCACACATTATTTTTTCTTTGGAAAATTAGTCGACGTATTTTTGTGAATTTTTTTTTTTTTTTTCATTTTTCTTGTCTGTTATCAGAATACTCCGAGTAATTTTTAAGCCAAAAAGTTGGCTTGTACTTATCTCTTGGAAAAAAAAGGAGCGGAAATTTTAAAACATTGCAATGCAGATATCGCTTTGACCATTGATAAGTGGAAATAATTATTCAGAGTATAAACGGCAACACATTTTTTAGAGTATTTTTTGGCTGCCCTGATCGATTCAAATAAAGTCTGCTTCATAATTCAAATTTTGCAAAATGCGCCAAGGTTTCAGGCAGTATTGAAAATTACAATTAGAAATAAAAATGAATAGTAAAAAAGCGGAAAATAAGTACTTCTACTTGAGGAACTGTACCGTAGGTTATGCGACAACATCCATAGAAATAATTACTCAAAACATGATGGCAACATATTTCTGCTCTAGTTGATTCGAAAACTAAGTCCTTGACATTTCTCACCTGACTAATATCAACTGCAGTTGAGTTAATGATCATCACCATGTCCGGCTGGGAATAGTTGGCAGGGTGGTGATATTTCAAGAACGTAAAACCTGGCCGTTTATCTAGGCCTGCACACATCTTCGGATTGGAAACTTCTGTCCCTTTAGAGCCCCACCAACCAGCTATTTGGGAAGGTGTATCTTCTTGTAGACCACAGATTCCAAAATTATCATTCCTATGATGACATTTGGCATTTTGAACACACCAAATGCACGAGTCTAACTGCAGGTTGTGGGCAACTGAGGATGGCTGACTTGAGGCAGGTGCTCCATGAATCAGACAGCTATAACAGTCTGTCAGACCAGCGCAAACTCCTGGACATCGAGTCGTTTGAAGATTCGTTGTGCAGTTGATTCCAATTGTGCGACCATAGCAAATCTCATCTGCTGAGCACCATCCACATTCCGGGTCAGCAGTGCATTCCGATAGAGTGTGATGTCTGAAAAAATTAATTGGAAGCCCAATTTTAAATTATAAAATTAGCAAAATAGTCTAACTTTGAACTACACTAAAAAATTAAACGAATTATAAATTAAAGTAAATCATTAGATTAATCTGGGAAAAATCATAGAAATAATTTGCCTCTAATAGACAATGGTAGTGGTAAAAGCTAATGTCATGGCAAGAATTTTGTAAATAATATGAAATACTTGAGCTTTCATTTGAGAAATTCTTTCAAAATTCACTGCCAAGATTCATTTAGGAATTAAAAGCAGGAGGAATCTATTGAATGAGAAGATAAGTATAGTAATTACCTAGCGCACAAATGCTCAGGATTGTGGTGTTCAGGAGTGCGAATAGTAAGTGTATTAGGAAACACAAAAGCTAGGAGATCTGAGTTGACATTCCCATGATAACCACCGACTATGAATAGTGTGTTACCATTTTTCACATCAGCTCCGTGAGAGAAAACACCTTGCGATTTTGGATAGCGGGCATCTCTGTCTGGATTTCCAAAAATATCATGACTGACCCAAGTGTGACACCCCAGATGATACAAGTACAAAGAGTTGTCATAGCAGATTTCTTCTCTATTATGTCGATGAGTGTAACCGCCAAATATCACCATGTAGTTTCCAATTAAAGACGCAGTATGAAACGCTCTTTCTCTGGGCACATAAGAATCCTTGAGCTCCAGTCTTGGATATTTTACTTCTGTCCAATGGCGAGATGGTAAATTGAACAAATATATTCTGTCGCTTAATTTGCTGAATCGAGCGGCATAAGTCACAATGCCACCATAGATGATTAATGACTGAGATCGTGCATGATAAATGGTTGAATGACCAGTAACCCGGTAGTCTAATTCTTTTCCACCACGAGGTTTAATTTCTTCCCACTGCTCATCTCCGCCAACTGAAAAAAGTTAAAATACATTAATGAAATTTCTTGTTCACATTATCCAATGAAAGAGTAAGAACAGACAAAAGAATGCGATAAAAAAAGAAAAAAAGAAGGTTAATTTGAGTTTCTATACTCTTTTCAAAGGGCCACATGTTGTAGGGTTCTAACAGATCCTATTTCAGCCAGGAAAATGAAAGAAATTAAAACAGGAGTAAAAGCTAAAAAGCTGCAAATCATAGTCCAGGGAAAATTCAGTAAAAATATGGCACCAAGGCCAAACATAGAAGCATGCCTGACAGGCACTGTCCGTATCAGAATGGTTTGTTTTTTTGGTAAATTTAAATCGTATATCTGTAAATTCATTAAAATACATAAAAATACACGGGACGTTTCAGTGTCTCACGATACCATTTTCAACCGCAACGCAGTGGTTGATAATGAGGTTGTGAGACACCGAAACGTCCCGTGTATTTCTATGTATTTTAGCCTTGTTTCCACTGGTTCCTTGTTTTGCTTCTACTATTTCCGTTTTAGGCTGCCTGTGTACCTTTGTTTTTGTTCTAAATTCATTAATCAATGTAAAATACAGTTGTGACGATTTTGCTCAGGATGGCAAAAATTCCTACATATACTCCCAAAACTTGCTGATTAGAATTTTCACAACATATGCCCTTTATCTATGAGCTATTTTTAAAATTTTAGATCACAACTTCTAATCGCTATCTTACCTGAAGAGAGCTTGATACGATAAACAGCAGACGAAAAATAGCCGTGGAGCATGGATCCTCCAACAACATATAAGTTATTGTCAGGACCTAATGTTAAAGTATGCCTTGCTAAACCTGGTGGCTGAAACGAAGAATTTTGAGCTCTGTGTGACCACTTTCCTTCGGATACTTCATAAAACCACAGCTCATTTGAGACAGAGCCTGACTTCAATTTACCTCCGAAAAGAACAAAACCTCCAGGGTACCTGGAAAAATAAAAAAAAAACATTGTACACTTGGAAAATCTTTAACTTTGGTCTTGTTGTCCAACTTTAGTTTCTTTTATCATATCTATTCTAGAGTATTTTGATTTGTTAGACAGTTTTAGGATAGTGATTAAGATCAATAAACATACATGTATTACGACAAGAAAAAAAATTATTTTAAATGTTCGGAATTCAACATTATTGTATTAAAGTGCACCAATTAGGTTGCTATTTGGAAACTCAAAAATGAATTAAACAGCTTTTGATAAATACTGAGAAGTTTTTTCATCAAAAATTGGAGGGTGAATTTTCACCATGATTGAACGAAAATCTCTTTCTAGCAAAACTTTTAGGCACATGCTAGGGTCTTCTAATTTGGATGCCAAAACACAGTGAAAATATGCACAGGCTTTATACTAGAATAATATCAATGAAAATTCGCCGAGAGTATGTAAGAGGAACACTAATTAAGTTATGGTTCAGAAAGGGTAGACATCGCATTACCTTGCCGCAGCATGGGCATATCTTGGAGATGGTTTCAAAACTGGGATACCAGAGTGATCTGATGTTTGGTTCACTCTCGCTGTTACACTCCTTTGCGTCTATAGAACAGATAAAAATTGAAAATTTAAAAAAAAAAAAAAAAAAAAAACTGAAAACTAAAATGCCTGTCTCACGTTTTAATGAATACAGAAACTCTGTTACATTCAATCTTCAGCACACAAGTTTAAATCTCCTTTACTTTGATCAGAGTATTGATAAGACATTTGTAATACTTCAGCACATTGCTTTGAATAGTTTTTTTGATAAATCATAATAAAAGACCATCATGAAGAATGTAATTATAAGACTCAACTATGATTGTAACTGTTTTTTACTGATCCTTACGATATTTTATTGTACTCACAGAACCTTGATGTTTACCGCAAATTCTGCAGGGTGCTTTGAATTTGGGCACTTATTTTAGGACTTGAAAAGGTTCCTTTAAAATTATAGACACAACAAAGGTTCATAGTCAAGCTTCAGAAAATACTTACACTAGAATAGAGCGCGTTCAAAGTATTGGAATCATTGAATGTTGCTAGAAATTTCAATGCAAAGGCCTCAGGGTGAAGACCAAAACCATTTTTTACACTGCCTTGTCCGTACTTTGAAAAAACAGCAGTTAATTCTTGAGGATCTAGGGTTGGTGATTTTGGAGATACATTTTCTAGGGGGAAAAAAAAATTTCAGATAAGAAGGAAAAATTAATTATCATAAATTAGAGTTACAGATGAAAAGTATTACCTACATGCTCAAAGCGAGAGAGAAAGAGAAAATTTAATCCATTTGGGCAAAAATTGAGAGGATTCTTACAGTGAACATCCTTGTCTATCTAGAGATCTGTCAAACTTAGGAAAATCATGATTGAAGACGTTAAAATAAATAAAATAATGCTTGACATTCAGGTGTGTTTAGTTGACAGATTGAGAGTGAATGTTACGGCTGGTACGTAACAGGATGTAAAGCCTCATGCATGTGGAAAATTTTGAGACCTCCAGTCGAATTTTGATACATTCCAAAGGAAAACAGGACAACCTTAAACCATGCTGAAAGCTCTGATGATTAAATATTTCAGTCAAAAATTATCACAAGATCATGAAGTCAAGTTTTCAGCCACACTACAAAAATGAGATTGGTGATTGAATCTTCATCTATCACATCTCCATATCTTCATGAGCAGTGATTTAATATTAATGGTGTCAATACTAATAATTTTAGTTGCTTTCAAAAGTGACTATCAAATGCCAAATGCTATGAGGTTTGAAAATTTGAACGGAGAGGATTTTCATTTTTAATTAAAAGAAGAATATCTTTCTTTTAGCTGACGAGAGCTGAAGAACGATAAAGCTCCAGGTCCGGGAAATATCCCTGCTGAGTTGATCAAGTGTGGAACCTGCAAGCTGTTTCAACGGTTGAGATACCTGATGCAAGATTGCTTGGACGGTGGAAAGGTACCGACAGAATGGAAAGAGTCTTGGGTGTCACCTATATACAAGAAGAAGGGTAGAAAAGATGAGTGTGATAACTATAGAGGACTGTCGGTTGCAGGTACCCTGAGCAAAGTGTATGGAAAAATCTTGAAAGCAAAAATTGAAGAGGAGTGGAAAGAACATGAAGCGGAAGAGCAAGCAGGTTTCAGAGCCGGTCGGTCAACGATTGATCACTTATTTACCATCATCCACGTCATAGAGAAAAAGAAGGGAGTTGGCCAGGAATTACATCTAGTGTTTGTGGATCTCCAGAAAGCTTACGATAGTGTGCCATTGATGAAACTTTGGGAAGCCTTGATCAAAAGGGGTTTTAGTGGGGGACTAATTAGTGCTATTAAGGAATTTTATGGTGGGGCTTTCTCTAGGGTTAAATCGCATGGGGAGTTATCGTTGGGGTTTTTAATTACTAAAGGACTGAAACAAGGGTGTTGTTTGTCGCCAACCTTATTTAAAGTGTACCTGGAAGAAGTTTTAAAGGAATGGAAAAGATGCTTTTCGGGAATGGGCGTCCCGCTACGTGAAGATGGCACCCTTTATACTCTGTGCTTTGCTGATGATCAGGTGGTAATAGCTCAGGACGAAGAAGATGCGAATTACATGACGCGGAAGCTAGTGGAAGTATACCGAAAGTGGGGAATGGAAGTAAATGTGGTTAAGACGGAGAAGTTGGTTATCGGTGGTGATCAGCAAAGCATTGAACTGGAGGATGGCCGGAAGATCCTGGACTGTGAAGAGTATAAATATCTCGGAGTTCGGTTAACTAAGGACGGAAATTTGGATCGGGCCATTAAAGATCGGAATGTGCAAGGCAGGAAAGCTATCGCGATGCTAAATGGGGTTCTCTGGGACCAGAGTATCTCCAAGGAGACCAAAAGGAAAATTTACAACGTCATCGTGAAGAGTATCGTAATTTACGGGAGTGAGGTCTGGCAACTTAAGAAAAGAACTGAAGACATGCTTAGGGCAACCGAGATGGACTTTTGGCGAAGGTCTGCTGGGATATCGAGAAGAGAGCGTATCCGCAATGAAAGGGTACGCGAGATAATGGGTGTGGAAAAGGACATCGTGCACGATATCAGGTCCAAGCAGTTGGTCTGGTATGGACATGTGCGAAGGATGGCAGATGATCGGTTGCCCAAGCAGGTCTTCGATTGGGTTCCTCCCGGAAGGCGACGGCGTGGACGTCCTGTGAAAGGTTGGCGACAAGGGGTGGAGGAGGAGATCAGAAGGTGCCAATTGCCTGATGATCTCTGGGAGGATAGGGGGCAATGGCGATTGGGCGTCGCAGAGCGCGAGGCGGCGCTATAATCGCGACTTTATGTATGTATATCTTTCTTTTATTATGTGTATTTTGGCTGATTAATTTGTTTTTCATTTTATTTAAAGGATAATTAAACATTTTGCTCCATGATCTTGCTATGACTTTGAACTGGAGTAATAAATAAGGCTGCTAACACAGTTTCCTTTTTTTTAAGATATAACAGATGGAACTATTCAAGCCTCAATGTAATCAGTCCATTTTATCTCCATACATATTTATGAAAACATCACAGGTGTAAACAATTTAACAAATGTTATGTGTTTCAAAGAAAAAGGTGAAACCATAGGATACATACCTATCACATTGCCATTTTCATCTTCCCATCGATTATTCGCCAGGCGAAAAATCATGAGATCACCCAAAATTTTATTGAGATTGAAACCGCCAAATATGTACAAACTGTCAGTTTCACTGACGTACACTGCTGAGTGATATGCCCTCGGTTTTAAACCATGATCACTTAATTTGTGCCACCTAAAAAATATGAGAGAATGAATAAAATAATGGAATTGAGGAGGCACTATTAAAGAGGAAGAAAAGTCAAAACGCCAAAAATGTCATTTGCGAGAGTGAACAGACTGTACTCACCGCATGCGTATAGTCTTCCACCGCAATTCGAAACATTATTAACAAAAGTTAAGTTTTATCTTTCATCTGAAAAGATTTCAAAGGGATGGTAAAGAGGGGGAAAATGATCACAGGAAAAGACTCACCTATTTTCTACTGGATTTAGATGGTGGAGACTACAGGACATTCCAGTGAAACCTTCATTACAGTGACACTGTCCGCCGCGACACTCTCCATGCCCATAGACTTTACCGCAACTATCTGGACAAGCTTCCTTGCTACAATCAGGGCCTGTCCACTTTGAATCACAGAAGCAAGAATGATGGAGGCAGCTCCCATGCTCAGAGCAATTGTTTGGACAATCAGTCACTATATATTCTGCAGTGAAACCATCCAACATGTAATTTGTGTCGCTATACAGAAGGATCAGCATCTGAAATCAAAGTCATAGGTATGTTAAAGAAGAATTCATTACAATTAAGTTCCAAAAAATGAAATCTTAAAAAAATGAATAGGTATTCAACAAATGAAGCAACCGTATTCTAAAAGAAAAAGCCTTCGAATTTGAAGAGAGTATGTAATGTTAATTGGTAGACTGCACACAAAATAAAGGGTGTTCTGTTGAACATTACAAAATTTACTTAATACTCGAGAAGTGCTGAAACTTGCATTTCTTCCATTTTACTATTTCTTGCATAGTTAAAAAAAAATATTTGCGTGTGTGAATTCAAGGTTAATGAAAAAAGGAAATATTTTTGGCTCGAAGAGAGAGAAGCTTCAATCTATAAGACATTTGAATTGACCTATTGACTTAGGAACTTTGTCTCATTCTTTCAGTATCAAATCCGCCTCTACCTTTAATTGAGTTGTCTCAGGAGTAATGTTGAGATTCTTAAACACAGCAAATGAGATAAATGGTCTGGTACTTTCACTGTCAATATATGTTGCTTGCTTAGGGAACAGTCTACAATTTAAGCAGAAAAATAACTTACATAACCAGAGGAGGCAGTGATTTTTTCTGGCTCATTTTTTCCGCTAAAACTTCCAAGAAGGGTTGAATTGAATGAGTCTCCATCATATATGTAAATGTAATCATAGGAACACTCAGTGCTCATGGATAAAAATGTGAGGGTGATGAACTGTTGAGGATCTTTGGCTATGAACAAAAATATAAAAATCAAAAATCAAATCAGTGAAAGAGACAAATCCTATTATGACAGTAATATCACAGCAATGTTTCACAGAATTTTAATTGTCATTGTTGAAATTCTTCACACAAATACATAAACTGAGATCACAAGGATAATGATACACATCAAAATGCCCACAACATTTCAAGATGGTTTCAACCCTCTTTTCAACGAGGAAATGAACAGTGAAAAAAAATTGTAAAACGAAAAACTAATCAGTAACTGAGGTTTTGATTTTTTGTTCCCTGATTGACGAAAGGATTGAAACCACTCCAGAACGTCATCGCAAGTACATTAAGTCTTGTTCACTCGTACTTTAGCGTTTCCTCATATTTGTACAGACAGTCCCATTTCCAGTTGATCTATTTCCTTTGCCAAACATGAGGATTCCTGTAGCTACCCAGATTAAAGATTCTCATCCTCTTGAATATGCATGTGAATTACGATGTAGTGGAGATTTGCCATACTGGTTTTAATCGTGACGGGTAAATTTGAGGCTTGAAACTAAAAAATTATAATTCTTACATTCAAGCCTGAAGATTTTTTGTGTTGATTTAGTTGGACTAAGCTAGAGAAGTACGAATTTACATGAAAGAAACCACTTTACTTTATCAATATTTTTCTGTAAGATTCATGGTCGAATTATGCTGCATGGTCATGCTATCTCTGATGTGAATTTGCGATTTTGATGGAATCATAAAAATAGTGTTGTTCAGCTCCATTTGCTCCTAAGCAAACACTGCGTTTTTCATGGAATGCATTGGAACTTTGCCACTGTAGTTACACGCAGAAAATTTCGCTCATGCTATACAGCCGGAATCTCTCTTGCCTGTATGTCCTAGTTCTTGAACGAATGAGACTTGAATGTGTGACAGTTGGCATCTCCAAGGCTCACACTCATGATCAAATGACTGATATGATACTGGATGCATTCAAGTCTTCGACAGGTGCTTTTCAAAATCAATTTCGATATGGCTGGGTTGCAGTTCTAGTGACACTATACCGGCTGAAGGGACACTGTCCAAACCAGTTTCTACTATAGATTAATTATGAATAAGTCAAAACTTACCTTTAATTAGCCATTCACAATGAGAATCTTGTGTGTAATTGGTGCCGGGAGGTCCATCAGAAATGGATCCTCTGCTATCCGTTAGAACTTTACGAGTCTTATCGCAAGGGCCAGACTGGAGTGTGAATATTAAGCAACAGCATAGAATGATGACAACTTTGGAGATTGTGTTGAACGTGAACACAACTTTCATTTTTTACGGTAAAATACACCATAATTGATGCACTGAGAATGAAGTGCAAATGAGGGCTACATAACCTGAAGAAGATACTAAAGAGAAATTCTGAGTGTAGAGAAACGGTCAAAACGTGTCATTATGCGTGAGACTTGCTGCATAAGTAGATGACCTCTAGAAACGATTTTCATTTAAAACTTATTCTCGTTGAGCGACGATTCATTAGGAGAGACATCAAGTTGTAACATACTATCAAAACACTCGGAGCAACGCGCGAGGAAAACACTGATAAAACTGCTATCTATGGCGAACACGAGAAAAACACACCATAGATCACCACTTGAACGATTAGGGTAAACTTTAGAAAAATTTTAGAGGGATGATTTACATAAACAAACTATATCAGAAAGAAATGAAAATTATTTTCATAGAAACTTTACGTTTACCTAAATTCTTCATTCTCGCTCCACTTGAGGAAGGAGAGGAAGAAGAAATCTGAGAGAGAAAAACATAAACACTACCGTAGTCCGCTTTTCACTTTTTTCAATCGTTCCACTGTTCCGGCAAGGGAAAACTGGGTGTGAATTTTCGAAACTTCGGCACCTTTTTTAAAATTGCGCTCTTTTATCAGTTGGTACTTGGTAGCTTTATAGCCAAAGTGATATTTTTTTCATAAAATAAACTTTCTCATCGACATAAATCGTCCGATTGACTATTTTTCTCCGAGCTTAGTATTTACAGGATCAATGCCGTTCACTAAACCTATGCAACAAGGAAAAACTTCGACTACCAAGCCTAAAATACCAATGAGCAAAAAAAGTAAGAATTACATAGGTACTTATTTACTTGATATGGACATTTGAGGATTCGTGTGCTTACAGTAGCATTGAAACCTAAATCCTTGAGACAAACTCTAACTCTCTCTACTTGTCACTGATAAAAGAGACCACTGTACTAAAAATCTTGGCATGCACTTCAGCATGATGGATGGCATTATTGTGTTTTCGAAAGGGCCGACTTTAGTAGGTAGGTACCTCCATTTCAATCGGGCGTAGAAGATTCAATTTTCTTCTGATAGTAGAAATACAGTCTATGAAAAACTGATACTCTGATGCGTGTAACTGGTCCATTGTTGCATTCTGCAATCTAGAAGATAAAATCTTGAATATCGTTTGGTTCATAAAATGGAACAATGCTATCTATTTTTTTAGGTAAGATTATTCAAATAAAAAAAAACCAGGGAAAAAATGTAATAGGTTTTCATTACATACTGAGGGTATCTAATGAAAGAATTTCATTACTTGCGCTGCCTATAAATGGCATTTTTCGAAGAAAAGTATGCAGTGAAATCTCAATCTATTTAAATGCGCAGGGTAACAATAAAATTAAATTTTTTAGTGGAGATCCGTCCAATTAGTCACCGTGACTGCTGGAGAATGTTTCCACCCCCACATCCGAAAAGACAGGTAGCATAAAGCCTCTTCAGAAATGGAACCTTTATCTTAAAAAGTTACGATAATTGCAGTGCCTTGAATTGAGAGGATAGGCAACACTAGCAACATGCAATCACGACTAGAAATCATGATAATATCGATGGCTGAGGAGCGCAACCACGTATCTCCATTGCTGTGTTTCGAAATTTCCGTTCCAATTTGGTTTTTTTCAAGAGAAACAAGCCAATTTTATAGCTTATTTATAAAGAATTTATTTCTTCTGACAGAGAGGAAAATGAGGAGGTTTCAAAGGTATTTTTTTCTGCTGACAGCAGAGAGAAAAATTCAAGGAGGTTTCAAAAATATTGAGTTGACAAAGTCTCCACAGAAGTGACCATAATATGATAGGAAGTTTGCAACATCGCAAATGGTGATACATAGTTTAGCACTTTGGCCATCGATGTACCTATCGTAACTTTATTGCAATTTTTTTCATGCTACTTTTAATGAAACTGCAAATAATAGGTACTTATGGTAATCAATCTACTTGGATGGGCAATCTCAGAAGTAATCACTTTAAGAGAACTTAATGATGTGCATTTTTAAAATATCGTTATCATACAAGCTACCTATTCCATTGTGAACAATCAAGTGAGACCTGTTATGGATATCTTACACCACACTACTTGCTTCTATGTATTCCATCCATGTCTGTGTGTGAACGTGTAAACGTTGCACCATGAGTGGGTATGAAATTGTTCATATGATTTTGTTGTGAGTTCCAATATAGATAACTTTTAATGGTAGGTAAGAACATTTTCTTCTAATAAACAATAACTTATGAGTGCTGGATTGAGTTTCACTCTAATCATTTTTATGAACAAAATTTCTAAAAGAAATTGCCTCTTCTTTTCACAGGAAAATTAGGTACAGGCATAACTGCCCGGGCACACACACAGGAAACTCTGAAAAAAACAAAACCAACAGAAGAACCACACAAAAAATTTGCCATTTATGCTCAGAAAACCTTCCGACGCATGAAAGCTTGGAATCCCCCTCTAAAAAATGCCCCTGTGAGTTTACTTGTTAAAAGTTTCGATCACGAAGTAACAGGTACTTCAAAAGAAACAGACAATCCAAAAATTTTACAAAGTGGTCAAGCATTTACCAACAAAATTGAGCTGAAAAATGTACAAGTGTCAGAGAAAATCAGCTGCTGCTCTACCAGCCCGAAACTTAAAGATTCTGAAAACCCGTATGTCAATGAAAGTTCATTGAAAAGTACTCATGTGGATGTTTGCAATGCAGGGGACAGAAATCAGTCAGAGAGCAGAGACCAACACGAAGCACTGAATTGTTCTGGAGGAAACATTGAATGTCCATTGACTCAACAAGACAAAGAAAAATCCAGAGAAATTATGAGAGAAAGTCAGAGAGAAATAATAAGCAATCAAACTTTTGATTTAATACCAATTTCTGATCAAAAGGTGCTTAGCAAAGACAATAATAATCTAAAAGCTACGGCAGACTCGGAGTTTCAAGAGCAAAGTGATAAGAAAATTGAATCAGTTGAAGAACCTGATAATCTTTCCAGAAAAGCTTGCGTAGATATGATAAGAACAAAAGCGATCAATTTTGTTGAAACCTCCTTTACTGAAAAAACCTATGACGATGATCACTTACAGACATTTAAAAATGAGGAGTATTTTAGTGCTATCAATAAAAATGAGGAACTTTGTCGAGATACGGTGCTTGGAGGACTAGACCTGGATAAGGGAGAACTCAAGAACGTAAATCAGGAGAAAGGAGGTGACGATATGCAAAATATTCGTGACCGAAAAGGAAATTTACATTTTGATAAAACAACAAAGACAGATGGAGATAAATCATCAGATGAACTCAGCTCTGATGATGACTTGGATGACATAGTTTCAAAAGCAATTGATAAATATATGAACGAAGAGGTATTAGCAAAAGGACGGGATGAGATTCTGGCACAAGAAAAAATTGGGTCATCACAAGAGACAATAATTTGGTCTCCACAAAAGCCAAAACCTAAGAGATCAGTGGCAAAGAAGCAGCAATCAAAACACTCAAAAGAAAAGACACAACAGAATATATATAAAAATTTACAGCCAGGACCCTTTTTCCAGCAGGAAAATTATGAACCAAAGACATGCATCCAATCAAAGAAAGATGAAATTAACGGGATAATTGATATTACAGAGGAATCAGAGACAGTAAGTAGAAGCGAGAAATCAACTGCTGTTTCATTTGAGAACGACAGCGAATTAGGATATGATTCTGACGGAACCATCATAATAGAGCCAATCACGTGTAATTCCACTGTTCCAGATCAGAATTTTAACTGTTTCTTTCAAAAAGGAGAAAACAATCCCAGAGATAAAAGAGTTACAGTTGAGAATACGCAACGAAATATTGACACGGAAAACCAAAAAGACACCTCGGCCGATTTTCATATGCATAAGACAGAGACTTTATTCCAAAGAGGAAATGAAATGGTTAAAAACTCGGAAAAAGATTTTTCGATGAGTGACAAAATATCATGTACAGCAGGATACTTGAATTCCAATGATTATCTTGAAGAAACAAGTCTCAGAGCTATGGATAAACATACAACGGAAAACTGTTTCAAAACACATAGTTACATTTCTGAGTTCCAGCATAACAATGAAGCTGATTTATTTTTACAAGTTGAAGAAAGCAATCTTTCTTTTGAAGCATCAAAGTCGAAATCTCCTAATACTGATAAGGAGAAATTTATTAATGCAAATTTAGATCAAGCATCTGGAAGCACACTAAGGGGCAATCAGAAGTCATTTTGCTTGACTGATCAAGTAACAAATCTGCTTGATAAGAATGGTTTCCAGTTGGACGAAGAAAATTACAAAGGCTGTAATCAGACAAGAGAGACAAATTCTGAAGAACATTCAATCATAGATCAGTCATCTCTAAATAGTAATGTGAAAGGAAACATGGTACTACAGGTGAATAATATGGAAACAGCTGAAAAACCATATTCATCCAGAAAAAACTTGTCACTACTCGCGCCAGTTTCAATTGTTGATAAACAAAACTTAACAAATTCTGTGAGAGCCTCCCCTCAGCAAAAACAAACAGGAAAGACAACAGAGAAAATATTTCGTACTTTCAATGATTTATGTGAAGATGAGTGTCTGTTTGAGCGTTCCTCTTATTCTCTACCGAACAAAAAAAGAGAGCTTTTAAATAATCAAAACTTTCTTTTAAACGACACATCAAGGACAAAGTTCAATCAAAAACTATTGCAGGCTAATCAAACATATGTAGATAATAACCCCAATGCCTGCACATCTGAGGCCGAGGTACCGAAGGCTGAATACCATCTTCTAAGTCCTCTACGAAGAAACATTGGAAAAGTAGGAAAAACTCCAAGACAAAACAAAGGAAAAATGAAAGAGAAATTGCGACACTTGAAAGGACTCATGGATCAGAGTAAAATACAGAGGGAGAAGAAAATAGATGATATTCGAGAGCTGGTTTTTGAGACAAAGTGAGTACCTTAATGCATTTTTTAAAAATTGACTCTGTTAATTGGCAGCTGGGATCGTTACAGATAACTAAAATTATTTCTTCAAAGCTAAATTATAGTGCCTCTCAGGACTAATCAGCCCATTGAATAATAAATTAAGTTCGAATTTTTATGACTCATTGCTTCTTCAGTAATTCCATAAAGCAGACATTATTTCGATTCTATTTCGATGTGCGCGCATACTGATGGCATAGTGCCGAAAAGGTGTGTCTCAGTTGCAACATTTAAAAGTCTTTAATTATGCTTCATTTGTATAAACACTAAAACTAATTAAAATGTTTCCTTGCAATTTTAAGTGAGTTTTTTGGAATGAAAGACGGAAATTCTTGCAAAATTTCATTTGATTTGGTTGAATTTTTTTCAAATATACTGATCTTAGTCTTAATTGATAGACATTTACTAGATCTTTCTAATGATACCTAGATCAGGTTTATAGCTTTAATAATTTTGAAGTTAAAGTAGCAGTCTAGATACCTTTTGGACAGCCTATGTAAAACCCTCATGACCGTTGAAATTGAAAATATTTTTGATAAAAAAACACTTACAATTAGATTCGTCTGACTTGCATTTGTTTCAGCATCTACATCTATGATCTGATTGATTCCCTGAAACCCTCGAGAAATGGATGATGAGAAACAGACCATTTTTTTAGAAAGAAACTGGACCACTCTGATATTCTTTGAATAAATTTTGAATTGGCTATAAATATCTTCTTTCTTGACTTCATTATTTAGATTCATACAAACCCTTCTCCATTATTGAAAAAAGTCTGAACTTGAAATACGGTATGCTTTGTGATCAATTCAAAAGACGATAGACTTGTATTTTTTAACTGAATTTGATTCATTAATTTTACTTTATTTCACTTTTTTAAACAAAATAGACTTTTGATAAAACAAGAACATTAACCAAATGAAAAAGTAAAAAAGTTATAAATATGTATATAAAAAAAATGAGATACAAAAAGTAAGGTTACACCTTACTGATAATTCTAGTAATCTTTCTGCTGAGCTGAAAAATTATTCTAGACGGGAAAATACATTTGGTGTATGATTCTTAACAAGCGCTAAAAATAAAATTGATCAATTTTGTAAAAAAAAAATCAAATTGAATAGAGGTATAAAGACACAAAAACAAAGATTCTATAACAGAATTTGGGTAAAGAGAGCAAAATTTCCAGGGGGCTCGGTGATGCCGTAAGAGTGTGCTTGACTCATGGTTAGCCAGGGCCCTCTCCGTTTTCTCAGAATTCCAACCTGCACTGGCCAGCCGTGGGTCAGGCATATTCTGCCGGAGTTTCGGCTATTCAGCATTTCGGGGATCTGGTGCCACGGAGACGGCTGGACCGTTGCATAGTCAGCTCTGTTCCAGAAGTCCCTAAACTTTGCACTAAGCCAGTGACAGTCCAGGTGGCTTCTGGACATGGAGCGGCAGCTGGGTCCAGCTGAGCAAAGATGAGCCTAGCGGTGTCATATCGCCGAGACGTTAAATAGCGACTTAGTACCAAACTTCACCCAATTCTAAGAGATAAAGTCAAAATGAGCCAATTTTCGGTCTGATTTACATGAGGTGACCCAAACATGATAATGATACTAATCTAAACAGCTGATGCCAGCATTACCAATTGTGAACTGACAGGATTTTTTAGGTAGATGTGGAGCGAACAGGACTTCTAGAGTTCTAAAGTTTCCAATTGTACTTCGAGACATAAATATTCTTGTTGTGACTAGATTTGCCCAGACTAGACCCAATGCTGGAATTGGTTTAGAAGACAAGCCACTCTGTTTTAAAGATGCAGTTACCTAAACACAAACAAACAGATGGATCATAGACATATTTTAATTTAATGACAGATCTATTTTAATTCAATGATAGATCATGTTCGATTAATGTATCTTGTGCAGTCTGTGCGTCTGCTTTTACACTTTTTTAATAGATATGTATTTATTTGGCTATTAATTCAGCTTGCGGTACGGATAAGAGTTAAAAATAGACTTTTAAAACACTGCACCGTTATTGTTAACTGAGAAAAAAAAAACGTGAAAATTTTTGAAAGCATTTACAACTGCACTTGTTTTTAAATTTTTAAGTATTAGTATTGACACATTTCAGACACTATGACCATCTGCATGGTTTTACTGCAATTCCTGTCGCTGCAAAACCTTGAAAATAAGTACAGTGCCAGACACACATCCATATGAAGTCTGAGAAATCATTCAACAAGAATTCAATAAACGGGAGAATGTTTTGAAAAATGTTAGTTTCTTTGTTCTTGCTGTTTTGTGTAAGGCAAAGTATGGTTGACATATTTATGATCTATGACTAACACAGAACTTGAAATTACAGACTCTACGATAGGCAAATCATGGAAAAAGGTACCTCTATGTTCAAGGTTGAGTGATTGTACAAGAAAGGAATTATGTAATGCACTTTGCACAGCGCTGAAAAATGTGTTATAGAGGCAATTACCTAAAAGTTTTTTGGCCCAATCTGGGATAAAAACCAATCGAAAATTTGAGATTTTGGTCAAGCATACAAACATACATAACTTTGAAGAAATGGTTTCCAGTCGCATTATGAATTATTACAAGGGTAAGGTGATTGGAAGATCAGGAAAAGTACTGCATGTGATTTGAGGATGGTCCAAAGAAAGATGGTTCCTGACCGAAGAAATCGCCATGATGTGTTTATAAATATCCCATTACTAGGGGTAATGGAATGCCCATTCCGTGGTACTTCACTCATCTCACAGAGAGGGTTGTGTGTTTGACACAAAAATAGACGAAATTGATAAACTGATCACCCACATGAGGGCTAAGAAATTACACTTGAACATTCTCGTGTGACATTGTTTGAGCATTAAGACTTTAAACTTCATTGTTTTAGAAATGAACAGATTTAGCAAGAATCTGCCAAACTGTATTTGATGCCATTCAATTACCAATCAGGTTTTACTTTTTTAATAGGAATTTAACCTACATAGATCCTTGAAAGTTTTGATGAATTTTTCATTGGTTTTAAAGAATGTACTCAAAAAATTTCGAGTCAAAATAATGCTTGGCTTTTGGGTGAGAAAATAAAGCATGGGTTGACTTCTACGAGGCATCTGATGTGGTTGGATTGACTCTGGTTAGATCCATCCAAAGAGAAATGAACGACATTTTGCTATAAGGAACTATAATTTCTGGCTAATACATAAAAACAACAATCTGCTTGGAAACTAATGATTCGTATGTTGCTTTTAAATTGAGCCAAAAATTGTAGTTCCTAATAGCAAATTGAAGTCCAAATAACCTGTGTACAATGCAATGCCCTGGGTTAAGTCTGCAGAGAATTTGAAAAATTTGAGAGAAAAATGAATATAACTGTCACAGAAATTTTATTTACCTGATTTACACAAAGAATAACAATAGAATGGTCATGAGCGATTTTTTGTAGCTGACTTGCAACAGATCTCATATCTCTAGCACGTCTTAGGCCATCTTTCAAATCGTAATCTGCTCGAAACACACCTGCAATGCTGTCAATAATGAGTAGGCCAATATCTTGAGTTGATAATAGCCGTGGTAACTGACCATACAGGCACCTTTTGAGACCATCCTGAAAAGATTCAAAGAGAGAAAATAGAGAACAGGAGAGCATACTAAAGGAAGATACGAATGCAGTTCAATAGAAACAAAGAGAAAAAGTAATTTCTTGCATAATTAAGGCTGTGATATACTAGAGGCTATGCAACAATCTTTCATATATACAGTCGGTTTGTACTTGTTAATTTAATTAATTGTGGCACAAACATTTCTTGCAGCCACTCAGCTGTCTTTATAGAGTTAACTCAAATTAACTATGAAATCAAATAAATTACCTAAAAGATAACAGCGTAAAAGTTTTGAAGGGTAAACAACTTATTGCAAAATTAAAAATTAAAGAAATGCTACAATAATAAATGAAAGCATTGTCTCTCAAATCGACATTCTTTGAAAGCCAATAACTCTGAAAAAAGGAAGGTTATAGCAGATGCAAGATGCCTTACTGTATCTCCTATGTGCTCAATAAATATTTTTGAGCCGAAATTATGATTTTCTTCTAATTGACTCACGACAGATTTGGAAAATTCTAAAGGGAAGTTCTGAATTAATTGCTGCAGTCTTTTTGATGGAAAATTGTCTTCTGTACTTATGAATACTGCTCCTGAAAAACAAATAAAGAACACGAAAAGTGTTAGAATATTGTTCAGGGTGGTATTACTAGACATAAAGACATTCTTGAACCATCCAAGTTGGGAGGGATAGCTAAGGAGTCCCGTAAATGTGGATGTTACAGGCAGATGCCATTTATTCCGGCAAATTTTTACCAATCAGAAATATCATAATAATAATTATATCAATAAAATTTGCTTTAATAATGGTTACCACAAATGAAGGAGGTACTTGCAGATTAGTTTTAGATTTCAGCTCTCCAAAAGTAGAAGTAGAAAGTCTAGAGGTTATGCTTCGCAGAGAGTGAGTCTGACTACGTAGCATGTCTTCAAGTGCCAATCTCAATGGTCATAACTGAATGGTGCCATTCTAGGTAGGAGATTATATCTCTTTGACAAAAAATTTGACTACATGAGTATTATCCATTTAATATGAGCAAATGCTACATCTATGCTGTACGCTCAGAGATCTCCTAAATTTGCATATCTGAAAATGCTTAGTTCCAGCATTCGACCGGGCCGATTTTCATGATTTTTGCGACCATCGACAGGCAATTGATTCTAGATGAGCCCGCTATATTAAGATTTTGAAAATATGACCTAGGTTTTTTTATATGTGTAAGAGTAGACCAGGGAGCTTAGAGAGGGGGGCATTTGAAATTCCCGCCGATGAAAAAAAGGCAGGAATTTCAAATTTAGCGGAAAATTGAATTAAGCGGGAAATATTGAATTATGGTCTGTTAGTAGGGTAAGGTAAATGAATCTAAGGTATGCCTCTTTGCTACAGACTGTCCAAAAGGGACAAAACGCTCCGTTCTGTTCGTTTCATTTCGTTTCGGTCTCTGCGTGAAATTTGAAATATATACCGATCTTCTGATTCGATTCTTATGGTCCAATCATTCCTGACCAGAGGGAGATTGGACAAATGAGAGTTAGGTATGAAAATCTTTTCATTCTTTTTGGTTATTCTTTTGTCTAAGCAGGCCTAAGAGAGCACGAAACGCCCTCTGGGGGTTGAGCCACGTAGCAGCCAGGGGGCCACGTAGCAGCCAGGGGACATGGCCCCCTAGTTACTGCATATAATGCAGATTCATGGTGTCACTTTGGCTAACCAGCGCTTAGTGCCTATTAACTGTCATGTCTAACTGCCCCTGTTTGTTGTATTTGAATATACAATTTATGCAAATATAGTAAATATCTGCCCACAAGGGTGTCAAGAGTGAACACTTTAATTTGAAGAGCACATTTTTCACACCTCAATCCAGGCCAGTGAGCCGATGATTAGTTTTCCTGCACTATACACAATCTCATGCAACTCATTACAGAATAAAGCTTTTGCCCCAATAGCAAAACTAGCTACATGTTATTTCTTTCATGCTGAACATGCTTTGAGAATATTGTTATTAATGAGCTGAAATTAAAGGACGGTTCATTAATTGCACATTTCACCTTTATTGAGTCCACCAACTGATGTGGGATACTGTACAGTAAGGCACAATTGCAAGCATAGCTGAGTTTTTCCGCAACTGCTTTCTCCTGAGAGTTCTGTGATACCTTGCAGAGGAATTCCTCCATTCAAAATTAAGTCTATCTGATCACAGCCGGTGGATAAAGTTGTATTCTGCTTCAGTCGCATTCGCACGGCTGGTAAACGGAAAACAAGAAAGTGAATGATTAGTTTCAATGTGTAGTATGATAAAAAGTCGATTGTTCATTAGGATTAAGATTAAATACTATTCCATCCACTTTAATAATATTCATTGATTGGGACAAAAATATGAAGATTGCCATCTAAAAAACCTTTACTTGTGCTTTACTTTCGACATGCTGCGCACAGCCAAATACTTACAGTTGACAGGTAAGAAAAACTAAGGTGAGATTGTCCGTTCAAAAATCTGCTAGGCACTGGTCTAAAAGTATCTATTAAACGGCAGGCAGGAGTTGCTTGAGTTCTACAACTTTTGTATTATCGATTATTAATAAAAATCAGGCAGTAACTGCTTAAATGACTTGAGACAATTTTTTTAGAGCCAACCTGATAAGTTTTCCTGAGGTAAGAGTGTTTCAGCTGCTAGTTCTAGGATTAATTTTGCATCTTCCTTCGTTATGTTTCCTTCTTGTCGTATACTGGATTCACTCAGCTGAATTATTTTATGAGCTGAGGTTAGATTAGCTATGGAATAAAAGAAGAATAAAATGAGTGGCTGCAAGTTTATCTTTTTTTGAAACGATTAGCTGATGTAACCACTAGAGATATCTCCAGTTTGAGGGCACATCTGTGAAGTTTGTTGAAATTTTATAATTAATTACTAAAATTAAAGGCATGTAGTTACAGCACTGTGCTTTGACTTATAATTTGATGTAATTTCAGTAAAATATCCTTTCAGACGAAGCCAAATTTCAGTCGAAAAATTTGTTGAGAGAAATTTATTTTGGATTTCGGGTTGGGTTATTTCTTGCTTTACCAGAAAAGCTAAAAAAAATTGAAGAGAAGGTAATCTAAAAATTCTTCAGTGAATTTGGATGTTCCAAAAAGTGTCTTGTTTAATTTTTCGACACCAAAAGTACCGCTAAATGGGCGATGAACACACAAGGGGAACTTTCCAAGCTGCTGCCTCCGATTGGGCTGAAAAAATTTGTACAAACTCTTTGGATGAATTCATTGGGACCATGGTTTTTTTTTTCCAATGCACCCTGGAAACACCCCCCGAAAATTCCGGTTTTCAGCACATGTCGACAGTGCGCGCCGAACACCCACTGTGCACTGGAAGGGCTGGGTAAGGGGAAGTAGCTCTCCTTCGGCTCAGCCAGCACTCAGCTCTCCCGGCGCACACTGGGTGTTCGGTGCGCACTTATGACACGTGCTCAAAACCAGACTTTTAGGAATTTTTTGGGGGTCTTTCCAGGGCACATTGGAAAAATGAAAAAAGCATGGTCCCGATGGATTCATCCAAAGAATTCGTGAGGCGGTAGCTTGAAGTTCTCCTAGTCAATAATAGTAGTAGGCAAAAAGCTTGACTTTACAAAGTACATACCAATGTTATTTTGAGCTCAGCATTCATCAATTTCAAATTCATGAAATATTATTTTACACTTAATTTCTTCGGAGGGGGAAGACAATGTTTAATTCAAGTAATTTTAAAATTCAGTGCAAAATTTAATAGGAACATACTTTCAGTTCTTTTTTCTCATTCGTAATGTTAGTCACATTTCCTAGGTAGTGTTTTTTTCTAACACAAACATACCTAGTTCAAACTTTTATATCTTTTAATTTTCAAAGCAAAAAAGGAGAAAAAAGATGGGCTGAATACTTGCTAAAGTAATTAGGTACCTACCTTTTATGAGAGTGTTTTGAAGAACTGCATCCAGTTTTTCAAGAGGTATTGTCATTGTTTACCTCACAGTGGAAACTTCTATAACATAGAGTAGAGAGGTAATACTCAAATTCTGAGATGTTTAAGGTATTTACAAGAAGAATGATGCGTAATATTCCTTCGCCAATAGTTCATCTGAGAAAAAAGAAGAAAAAACCTTAAAAATTCATGAAAAATATTGTCAATGCACAATCATAATTTTTTCAACATATCTTCCGTACATTTGTATTTTTGCTTAATGCAATACTAAATATGTTAAGATATAATAATACTCTAGCTCCTTTTCAGCATCAAAAAAAAAAGAAAAGAAAAAAAAAGAGAACAATTCTGTCTCATGACATCTTACCTGTCATCTAGAATTTCCTAATATACAGTTTGTGTGGCCTCCAGAGACTCTATTAATTGAATCAATCTGTCTTCAAAATAAAGTGACTTTGATATGCCTAAGCTTGGGGTACCCAATGGAAGATTGTCAATGGAATCAGTGAGGACGAAAACACAGAACACACAAAATCTAAAAAATGAAAATATAATAAAGACACACAAAAAACTGCGCAGCAGGTGAGGAAGTTAATTTGTGAATAAGATTTTTGGTGCCAAAAGACAAGTACTTAAAGACATTATGAAGGTCCGAGTTGGTACAGATGCGTTAACTTCAATGGCCAACATGAAAATTGAGCATTTCTGAGCTAGGTACCGAGTTGGTGTGTTTTCGTTCCCACTGATTCAAGTCTGTTCAGAATTCTTACCATGCACAGAAAAAGGTAAGGTAAACAGAAGACGGCTGAAACATAATGGAACAGCAGTACTTCACTGGGTCTCTTTAGTTACAAGCCGACAAACTCACTAAGTCACATCACAATTCACATTTCACATCAACATTCACATGCTTGAATTGCAAATTATTGACTATAAACATAACCTCAAAGTAAATGCAAGGTTGCCTCGTTGTAGCTGGCAGGTGGCAATAGTCAGCAATCATAGGTTATTCTATCTATGGAGCTATAAAAATCAATCAGAATTAAAGAAAAAAAATTATTTGATTTATGGGGTCCAGTAATTAAAAATGAAAGTAATTTTACGTCATAAGAAAGCGAATATACGAAACGGCAACAGGCAACTGCGCTTGTAGTAGCGTGTGCCGACCGTAAACAAACACAACCAATACACAACAGTTCGGAAGGGTTTTTGATAACATTATCATTATTAGGCATTAGTGGACTTATCGTTTGATTATTATCGTTCATTGATGCAGTTATCTTCATAACTTTGAAACTTTTAACACTGTAAAATTCCACAGTTATCTCTTCCTAAATCTCCGGGATTCTAGTCCTACTGCAGTGGATGATTTGTGGAGGGCTTAGTGTCTTCAAAAGGGTTTAGGTAAGCGATTTCTTATTCTGCGTTATTCGTTAAGGACATATTCCAATTTCATTTTTCATTTAAAGGAATTATGCCAATGTGTTCAGCTCATTGTGCCAAAACTTGATTATCAACTAAAGCAAGGCAGGATGCTTAGAGCACATGCTGAGAAACTGGTTTCGTGGAGCTTTTTGGGTGTTCTCCTTAAGTACATGTCTGCATTCAAAACTTAAGTCAGTAAACCCAACTGACCATCTTTAGGAATTCGAAAAAACCAATTTGAGAGTAATTTCAGGGATTGTAAAAGTTGGATCCAGGATCCAGCTAAGCATCTAATGGTAGTCGGCAGATTCAACCTTTTTTCGCGATCTGAAATTAGCTTCACCGGGCATCCCTAGTGCCATCATCTGGGTTTCCTTTAATCTTCAGCCACTGTCTATTTTATAGTTTACTTTTCGTTCAACTAAGTACCCTTTTTTCTCTTCAGCCTTTAGGTCCTTCTACTTCTCCTAGTTTCTCATTTTCTTTCAACTGATGGTTTCACTTAAACATCAGCAAAGATGGAGTGCCAGTCTCTCTCGAGTAAAATTGAACTTCAAGGCTACCAACGAAATCACGTAATGTAACTTTATAAAGAACTGGAAGGTTCATGATTATAGCTATCTAGGAACATACCTTTCAAGTGCCAAATGTCATCTGGACTGTATTTTCAGGGAAGAATTTTTATGATTGAATTGATACTTTCCAAAAAAGGCGGAAGTCCATTTTTCAACATCGCTTTAATTTTGCATATTTCAACTCTCTGCTTGTCCTCACCATATTATTTGAAAAAACCGTGACAGACACTCACGAATGCAAATGTCACGTTAGAAGAGAGTCAAAAATTCTGAAAAACCAGTTTGAAAAATTGGACTTCCGCTTTCTTCAAAAGTAAGTACTGATTTAATTTTTGAAAGTTAGCCAGGAACAATAGTGAACTTGGTAATTATGTCCTGAGCGGCTATAGAGTGTACGGTCAACGATTGCTATACCAATGAAACTGCTGAGGATATAACTTGCCCATGAACCTACAAAAAGAATATCATGAGGGAGTGTATCAGTCATGTTGCATTTTGAAAACATTACGCTATTTTTAGCTGGTTTTTGAAGTTCAACGGTGAAATCTATCCTTTTTCATATTTATATAATTTTCTGCTCAGTTTCATTATTTGATTTATTGTTTACAGGTTTCCTTACCCTCGAAAAATGGCTTTTATCTACAGTCCAAAATCGTTGATTGAAATTGAAAAAGGATTCAACAAGAAGTTTTCTTTTTCCGCCAGTTCTCATCAGTTGCCCAATCCTCAAGTCATATTTACTGAGGAGAGATGGGAAGTAAGAATAAGTATCTAAATCATTCATTTTTAAACCTAATAGTAAACATCCATTAAAAGAAAATAAAAACACTTTTTCTTTCAAAGTATTTCCCTTCAAATTAAAATCGTTTATTGGAAGAAATTTTGGCATGCCATTATTCAAATAAGGATGTTTGAACCAAATTCAGATTGGCTATAACTCAGTTAGAAAAGAAATGAGTCCGATGAATTTCATTGTAGGTAATTTGTATCAAAGAAAAACCTTCCTAATCAAAGTTCTACTTCTATTTTACTTTGGATGTTTAATTTCTTCTCATGTGGTGAATCATTTTCATACAATCCAAATTGTAAGATTTGGGCTTTTATCCAATATCATGCTGTATGTGGAATTTCTCTTGATTTGTGTCAACTGTGTTTCAATTTTTGTTTTTCCTGTGTCCCTCACCTTTTTTGTACCTATATCCTCTTTTCATAACAAATTTATTTTATTTCATCAGGTGCCAGTCCTGCAGAAGAAAAAAGATGCTTTCAATAATGTAAGAAGTAAGCTGAACAATGTTTTTCTGAAAAGTTGGCATCAACATACAGAGCTCTGCAATCCTGCACAAAGAATTTTCTACACTCTACAGAAAGAATATCAACCTGAATTTTTAAGTCAAGTAAGTTTTATTCTATCTTTGAAAGATCAGTGAAGTTCACAGCAAGTAATACCAAGGAGCCCATATTGCATCATTGCTACTCAATTCATCTTGTCTTGGAAGTAGGAAAAGGGAAGGAGGAATTTCCCAAAGTGAATGAGGAGGGACTTGGAGTCTGGAGCTCAAAATGTCCTACGATTTTTAAAAAAATTATATTTTTATTGGAAAATTGTTAAGTGTAGAGGAGGTTGGAGGGCAAACTACTTGGACCCTGTTTGAGGTATATGTCATTAAGAAGTGAAAAATTTACATGATAATTCTTCAAGGCTTTTATGATGGAATGTTCAGTCTGATCGGACCAAATTATTTCCTTGTTTCTACCACAAGGTAGGCCCCAGTGCAGGCAATAAACTTCATACGACTGTCAGGTCACATTCGGCCCTCTGATCTGTCAAGAAGTATCATACTTCGGAGAGATCCAAAGTAATGTAATCAATGATTCAATGTGGATGTAATCTAGGTAAAGTGAATAAATATAAATAAGGATGGTGAAATTGCAAAATTGTGTATCTCTATTGCAGTGTTGTAAATTTCCACTCCTATATTATTTTTAAAAGGAGACCAAACGAACATTATGGCTTGAAATGGTCACAGAATTTTCTCAACACAATGAATTAAATATCAGGGAAGTTCTCAAGAAATGCTGGGTACGTATATCTCCTTCTTGAAAATTAAGTGTGTCACGTTTCTTTTTAATTTCAACATCGCTAAGTATAATAGTAATAAAGAACGTTTAATAGTAATAAGAACTTGCGAAAAAATAAAATAATAATCTCAGGAATTAAATGTCAGTTCATGATTCTTGCCATCAAATTTTTGTAATTTTTTATCAATTCTGCTCATGTTATGTGTCTGCTCATGTCTGTCAATTTATGTCTTTCTAGGCCTGGATGAAATTTTATGAGTTGCTGTCATCATATCCTCTCATTCCCGACAAAGCTGTTGAAGGGGGTAGACTAGGCTCAGTGCACCTTTGTGAGGCTCCTGGTGGATTCATTTCAGCTTTGAATCACTATCTGCAATCGAATCACAACATTAAGGTAAATCTTCATGGCTTGGAAGTTTCATTCTGTATTTTAAACCATAACTATTCCTTGCAGTTGCTGTATTCTTACAATTTTAAGCCCCCACACTTACTGAATTGCTTGTGAAGCTTGAAAATTCTGATGGTAACACCTCGTGTTAAATGCCAAATTGTTCTCCAAAGGGAGAGAAATAGTTGAGGTGTCTTTTAAGCATCTCGGCAAAAACTCTATTGCTTCTTGTTTTATTTTTATTAACTCACTGATTGTAAGATTAAAACTTGTTCTTGGCTACTTTCACCCTAAAATGTAATTCAAACAATTATTTCTTAATTGATGGGAGTGTCACAAATGTGTTCTCAAGAAAAAAAAAAGAAAACTGTATCATATCTGTGCTCTTCTGACAATCAACGATTTTTTGTCTTGGCGATTCTAAGATTTATATAAAGACATAGCAGCCTAAAATCATGAAGAAAATAAATAGTCCCTTGTTCCTCCTCAAAAAAAATGAAGGATAATAGCTGTATCACATGGTTGCCTTATGCTTATACACTTTAAGTACCGATGAAGGAGGACGAAGTATCTTATTTACTTGTTTATTCTGATCAGGAGTTATTCTCGTCTGTATTAATTGACCTATAAGTAATTAAGCCGTATTAAGTACGAGAAAATTTTATCATCAGGTACAAAACCAATTTTTTAAATTAGGTCACCACAGTTGCCAATTAGTAGTCACCATTGTATGAAAAATTTAATGGAATAGCCCCCTAGTCATTAAACATCGACGCCAAAAATACTTCATTTCAATTTATTTTTGCTCAACATATTTTCTGTGTTTCAGTGGAATTGGTTGGCTAATTCGCTAAATCCGTACTATGAGGGAAATTCATTATTCTCCATGGTCTCAGATGACAGACTTGTGAAACATGCACTGGAGAACTGGTGTTTTGGCATTGATTACTCAGGTGATATCCTAAGTAAAACAAATGCTGCAAGTATTATTGAAGATTTCAAAAAGAAAACCGAGAATCCTATTCTATTGGTTAGTATCACTAAAATTTATTATTTTAATCATGTAGATTGAAGGTGTGGGTAGCCAAGCGGAAGAAGAATAAAAATTTAGGATGTGTAAGAAAACTTACATTTTATTGAAAACAGGTCAATTGACAGAAACTTTCCAGCGTTACAGAGATATTGTGGGGGTTATAAAGTAAAAAAATTTCATTTCATCACATTTTCAGTAACTCTGTTCTATTCTTACAACATATCACATTTTAAGTGCTAATACCCTCCTCATTCCTAGAATGGCCACCAGTTCTTATAATTTATTAATTTTTACTATGCTAGCTCAATTGGGTCCTCTCTGAAGCATGTACTCTTTGAATGTTTGATCAAAGGTCAATTAAATTGATCATCTGAATTGCTAATGGCTGTTGCATTGCCGGTTTCAGTAATCTTGAATTAAGATTGGCACATATCGGTCTGTTAATTTTTGTGGTGGCCAAAAATTTTCTTATAGCAAAGAGAGGCCTGTAATAGAAATTGTTGCATTAAAATTTCTGTATACTAGCAAATTTTGAAAAAAATCTCTTCAATTGCAGAGTGAAAAGCTAATGAATTTATGCAGAGTTCACACATATTTGTGTTACCAAAAGAGTGCCCTGGGTTCAAATGAGCACCTCTTTTCTGAGTTATGCTTAATATTACATATTAAATGGTAAAAGCCTCTGATGATACTCATAGGAGATGGCTTCAATGGATTCAATTATGAGAAGTTTTCAATTTGCAGGTCACTGCAGATGGCGGTATTGATTGTCAAAATGATCCCAAAGAACAAGAGCTGCATATCTCGCCTCTCATCTGTGCTGAAATCATTTTAGCGATGCAAGTTTTATCACCAGGTATGATGCCAATCAATTTTTTCAAGTTTAATATAATTGCCTGCATTTTTAAAATAGTACTGTAAGGACAAAAAAATTAAATCAAAGTTACTTTACATAGTGAATAACATTTTCTCAATATGTGACCGGCGGCGCGATCATTGAAACTATGTTGGCAAGACAAGACTAGAAATAGCCCTAGCTTGACCATAGAATTTATCGTATTTCTATGTCAATCTGACGGCTTTAAGCTTTTGTTAATCAACCGGCTGATCTGTGAAAAAGGACCTTATCTTTCAGGAGAACATTTTTCTCAACGTTTTTCCATAGCTGAAGCCGAAATTGCGTTTTTCTATGACGTAAGAATTTTTGCTTTTCAACTTCGGGACTCATATTCTCTTTAATGTTTGAGTTTCTAATGTGACCCTGTGACCAAGTTTGACAACTTGCACCAAAATTTGCAGATATTCTTTCTCTGTATATTTGCAATTGTTAAGGAATTGTTTCTTCTACAAAATAGCGTCCCTTTTCACAGATCTGGTCATACATGCAGACTAATTTTTATACCCATACATTAGGAGGGTAGAGAGAGTTTTCTTTATGTATATACAATTTTATGATTTGAAAAGTTTGGTTGATATTTTCTTTTCAGGCGGCAGTCTGGTGATCAAAATGTTCACTCTATTCGAATGTGAATCAGTGTGTGCTCTCTACTTATTGAGATGCAGTTTTGAATCTCTTCACGTTTGCAAACCAATCTCAAGTAAAGGCGGAAATTCAGAGGTGTACGTTGTTTGTTGTGGATACAAAGGACATCAGTATATTGAACCGTGGCTACCACAACTTTTATCTTGCTATAGTATGTGTCAGTCAGTTTATTTTGATGTCAATGTTTTTTTCTTGCCATTACCTACTTGCTTTTGCCTCTATTTTTTAATTGTGAGTGATGCCATCACACATGATCATCGGTACTGGTACCTCTAGCCGATCATATACGGACGTAAAAATGGTTTTGGCGGATCAGATTTGCATACTGGGCACCAGACAGATAGGGTTTTTTTCTTTATCTTAAAAATTATAAATCGTCCGTGTTGTGTGGGGGGAAGTCAAGGCAGAAGCTAAGTATTTGTCAGGGGCAGCAAATCTAGCACACAAAATCAGATCCTGAAGAATGAAATGCGATCAATAATTTTTAGATTTTTCTTCGGGTTTTTCTCATCCAAACTACTTATGTATTTTTTTTAAGTGAGAATTTTCATTCAAACTCGCAAACACTAGCAATTTGGAAGTATGTCCTCAATCCCCTTCCAAAAGGTGTGCTTTCAGGTCAATCTAGCTTTATCTTACTGTTCGGCAATGTTCTATAGTCTATGACTTAAAAAGTGGCAACTGAGAGGTGGAGTCAGGTGAGGGGTTCAATCTATTGTTTGAGGGTTGAAACGCAGATATATTGACATACCTATTGAAAGGATCAGGGCTTGCTGAAACCAGCCCAAACTAGAATTGCGGAGAAGTTTGCATGTGTTTTGCAAAATTGCGGCAAGTTGTGAATAAGGGATAGTAAAAAGGTCACAGCACCAAAAATTTTGGGAAGAAGGTGTTTGTCAAATGGGAAGGTTAAGAACTTTCTGCACTGGAGGAATAGAGCAAATGCAATATTGCTCATGAACCTGTAGTTATTGATCTTTCTGTTAAGTTTCCTTTCCATCTTTGGCATTTATAACTTTTGATCTTCTAAAAGTTAAATTGACATATGCGTCTATATAAAATCATTCTTATGACAGTTAATTCCATGTATTGCTAGATTTCTTGTGAATAAATTGTTCTTCTTATTATTTATTTTTTTATTTCTTCATTGCAGATATGAAGAAAAGTAAGAAAGTAATGTTCCCATTGTCTGAGATTCCTGAGAAGTTTTTGCAAGAATGTGTGAGCTGTGCTCATTTTTTTGCTGATATGCAAGTGAGTTTTATAATTTCCTTTTTTAATTTTTACACATTTTTTTGTCTCAACTTAATATGCCTCTTTCAACTCTATAACTTTACGGTTACTTTCTAAGAGAAATTTATGAATGGACATTCATGTTCTTCATGGTATAAACAATAAAACATCATGTGTAGTATTTGCGGAGCAGGACTTGTAAATGTGTCAACATGCAACAAATTTGTGCAATTAGATGAAAATACATCAAAGTCTCTGTAAAAGTATGGATTATTGAAAGTAGTCGTCGATTAAGTTTATTTTAACATTGAGATTTGCAATTGTCTCTCAGCATTTACTTGTATTTTTTTAACAATACTGGGGAAGTATGAAAGATTTTGCTGAAATCCTTGAAGAAGTTTTTCTTTTCTATTTTATCAATATACCTTTGTATTTGTCTCCCATTGCTAAAAGACTTGTGTTTCAGATTTCAGTCATCGATGAAAACTTGACAAACTACGAAACAGGAATGAACAAGAAAAAAGCTGATAGCCTATTGGAAGCCAAAAATGCAGTTGCTGTAGAGTTTACCAGCAGATTTAATATAAGTCCAACTTTTAAAAGAATAGCACCTGCCGCTACTAGCGTAAGTATCTATTTTATTGTAATTAGGCATCAACTATGAAGTTGGTGTTTCACAGTTGGAAACTAAGGGGAATTTAATCGTTAAATGGCGAAAGCATGTTATAAATGAAACTTTTGGCCTGAAGCTTATGATGTCATATAAGTCGACAGCCCATGGTTTGAAACATCTTAAATCCTATGTAACATGCCGGCCACACAGTTCTAATAATAAAAAAACGATTTCAATTAAAAAGAAAGAAAGAAAAATATTCGTTGCAAACGACTCTGTTTGAACACAGTCAAGAGATATATATATAAAGTCGCTTTATAACGCACTCTGGCGTTCTACGACACCCAAACGCCACATATGCCTGTCTTCCCAGAGGTTATCGGGCAACTGACACCGCAACATCTCTTCGTCAACGCCCTGCCGCCAACCCTTTACGGGACGTCCCCGTCGCCTCTTCCCAGGTGGTGCCCAATCCAAAACTTGTTTGGGCAACCTCTCCTCCGACATTCTTTGCACATGTCCATACCAGCATAACTGCCTGGACATGACGTCGTGCACGATATCTTTCTCAACCTTCATCACCTGGCGAATTCTCTCATTACGGACACGGTCCCGTCTCGAAATGCCGGCAGATCGCCGCCAAAAATCCATTTCAGTTGCCCTCAACATTTCTTGCGTTCTTTTCGTCAAAGGCCACACTTCACTACCATAGAGCACGATACTTTTAACGATGGCGTCATATATCCGGTGCTTGTTTGCCTTTGAGATGCTCTGATCCCAGAGCACCCCGTTCAGCATCGCGATGGCTCTCCTGCCCTGGATGATCCTGTCCTTAATTGCTCTATCCATCCTTCCATCCTGATCGAGCCAAACACCGAGATACTTATACTCGTCACACTCTTCGATGCGCCGTCCATCCTCAAGCTCTATGCTTTGCCGCTGATGCGCTGCTCCCACGACCAGCTTCTCCGTCTTGGACACACTAACGTCCATGCCCCATTTCCGATATTCTTCGACCAACTTCCGTGTCATGTAATCTGCATCTTCTTCATCTTGAGCTACAACGATCTGGTCATCGGCAAAGCATAGGGTATAAAGGGTCTGCCCATCAAGGAGTGGAACGCCCATTCCCGCAACCTTATTTTTCCATTCTTTTAAAACGTGCTCTAGGTGTACCTTAAATAGTGTTGGTGACAAACAACAGCCTTGTTTCAGCCCTTTTGTGACGAAAAAACCTCCGGACAACTCTCCACGACATTTAATTCTTGCTATAGTCCCGTTATAAAATAATTTAATTGCCCCCACAAGTCCTTTGCTAAAACCCCTTTTTTCCAAGGCTTCCCAAAGCTTCACTAACGGCACGCTGTCATAAGCTTTCTGAAGATCCACAAACACCAAGTGCAGCTCCTGGCTGACCGCCCTTTTCTTCTCGATGACCTGGGTAATGGTGAACAAATGGTCGACGGTAGACCTACCGGCTCTAAACCCAGCCTGTTCTTCGGCTTCCTGGCCGCTCCAAACCTCCTCGACCTTTGCCTTGAGAATTTTACCGTAGACCTTGCTCAAGGTTCCTGTGACCGATATACCTCTGTAGTTGTCGCAATCTTGCTTACTACCTTTCTTATGACTGGGAGTAATCCAAGATTCCTTCCAATCCTTTGGTATTTCGGAACCATGCAAACAGTCTTGCATAAGTTTCCGAAGATGTTCAAATAGTTTACCGGTACCACATTTTATCAACTCCGCCGGTATACCCCCAGGTCCAGGAGCTCTGCGAGTTTTCAACTCCCTCACAGCCTTCACTACATCTTGGAGCTGGATCTCCACGTTGGAATCTTCTTTAGTGCTTATGACTCCGCCTTGAAACTCGGGTCGCCTCTCCGTTAATAAATCTTTAAAATAGTCCTCCATCTTGTCAATTGGTATCGGAGATATGATGTCGCGCATTTTATTTCGTCGCAACCCTTTGATCACTTTCCAGCCTTCCGTACTTTTCCGGCCTCCAAGGTAGGTATTTATCTTCATACAGCTTTCTTCCCAAGCCTCATTCTTCTTCCGAGTGATGACCCGACGGACCCTTGCTTGAGCCTGTTTGTACATGATTTTATCATCCAACTTTTGAGAAGAGAGAAACTGATGATACCTATTCCTTTTTACATTTATTTCCTCCTCTACCTCCGCATCCCACCAGTACGGTTTTTGATTATCATTTTTTGGATCAGAAACCCCCAGGGCCTCCGCTGCCGCCGAGTGAACGCAATTCTTGATAAACTCATACCGCTCTTCCGTACTGCCATCGCACGTATCTCCTAACTTTTCATCCAGGCGCTTTGCGTACAGAGCCTTGACACTCGGGTGCTTTAGGCTATCGATGTTATACTGAACTTGATGTGCGCGTTGTCGCTCCGGTTGCTGATTGTCGCCTTGATCGTTCTGCGACACACGAGCGGGAAAGGCTACATCCGCTCTGAGGAAATAGTGGTCACTACCGCAGGAGAGTCCTCTACATACTCTCACCTGCTGGATCTTAAGGTTTGTCACCTGTTTAACGAGCACGTAGTCAATGATGGATCTTAAGCCGCGAGTAGGTTGGACCCAAGTATATTTGTGAATATCCTTGTGTTGGTAGAACCCAAAAAAAAAAAAAAAAAAAAAAAAAAAATTTCGAAAAAATATTAAGAACTGGGAGGCCATCAACGCTCGCATGATTAAGATGAACCTAACATTGCACGGTCACAGAGTCACTGTTTTGGGAGTATACGGGGTCAATGATGATGCTACCATTGCACTTAAGGATCAGTTTTTTGAAGAACTGGACGAGGAGGTAGTGAAGGTAGGACCTGGGAGGGAAGTCCTTGTGTTGGGAGATCTAAACGGTAGAACGGGATCCCGGGTGAACAGTAAAGTCGTCGGCCCGTTCGGTAAAGTTACGGTGAACGACAACGGAAGCCGCATTATCGACGTTTGCGAGCAGAGGGAATTAAAAGTGTTGGACACAGTCAAGATACATAAACAATTTATTTTGACTTGTACACTTACATAAACAAGTTAATTTGGTGTACTGATGAATCATCAGTGGATATACAAATCCATCTCATTTTATAACCAGACTTTAGAATTAAGACCACATAACAGTTAATTCAGTATTAATGGTGGTTTCAGGTTACCATGAGCACATTATCATCTGTAAAAAGAAGAGAAAACTGCACCTTTAATGACTGGGAGGTCAGGAATGAAAAATCTCTTAAATGCTGCTTAGACGATCTCAATGACTGCCTGAGAAGATATTCAAAAGTTTCTTTTGATCCAATCAGTATTCGAGTAAGTATTTTTGTCTACAAATTCAGTACAATAATACTGAGCATTATAATTTTCTTGACTTGAACTTCCACAGTAGGTACTCAAAAATTTCAATTTTACTTTATATTCAAAATTAAGTTGTACTGGAGGATTGCTATCGATCAAAGAGAAAAAAGTTGTCTTAAGTGAGTTGTTTTTAGTATTTTAAATCTCAATTAATTTCTAAAGAACAAATTTCTAATCGATAAATTTTACTCAAATTTGTCTCATCTTGTTATCTTAAAACTATGATGAGATATTTATTTTTTAATACAGATTTAAAAGATTGTAGCTAGAAGTTTCTCAAGAGCTAAGAATTTTTTAAACGTGAAAGATATTTAGAGCAATTCAAGTCTGCTCCCATCTTCTGTTATTCCCAAACTTTTGATACTTATAATTTTATATCATTCTCAAAATGTATGTTAAACCCTTTTCTTTTTATCTCCTGCTCTATGTCAAATATTCTTTAGCACCTGTAGCCTACTTATGCTTTGGAGCCAATCTTGTGCACAACTACCATTCATTTTAATTTTTTTTTTCATTTGTGCTAAAGGGTAATTTTTTTTGATTAATTATTTTTTTTCATTTTAAAGAATCTGAAAGAAATTGAATTTGAAGTAAATGCCCCTTTCTGATTCTTTTTACTTTTGTCAATTCTAATTCTAGGTTTTTCCTGTACCTTCAGAGGACTTGGTAATAACCAACGGGTTACCTATTAAAGAACTTGGTAGTTCTAAATTTTGTACTGGAAACATACTCAAGCATAAAATTAAGTTGAAAAACTTTGTTACTCCTCGGAGCTCAAATCAAGATGAAAGATTGAAGTAAGTACTAATGTAGATAAATGTATCAAAATTTTGATATTTTAAGATTTTTTTTTTTATTTTCTCATATTATTCATCTCAAGTTCAAGTTTTCTATAATTGAAGTTTCTCCAAAAACAACAGATTTTATAACAAAAAATTAAAAAAACATGATTCTCAGTCTTACAACAACCTTTGATCTTCAGGCTTTTATCCTTAATTCCACCTGTCAGCTCGAAGTCACTTATGTGACCTCGGCTGATACTGAAACCAACCTTCCGATGATTGCATTTAAGAGTATAAAAGTAGTAATAAAAAAAGTAATGAGCCTGTAGTCAAATTAAAAATTAAGACACCATGTTCCTTGTTTTTTCCTCAACTTTCACTCTCATAAAAAAATGATGAATGTGGCAAAAATATTGGAAATTAAATTTCAATCAAGGCTTGAATGTGTGCCATTAAAAATGACCAAATTCAAAAGGTCCAGGAATCGCGAATTCATTTCTTGCTCCAGTGTTAATCACATTCTCTCTTAATATTGATCGAACAGTTGATGTGTAATATAATTTCCCCTTTTTTTTCCAGGTATTTTTCATCTTTAATCTCAAGCATGCCAATTTCATCAACTCTTGATATTGCCGACTGTTATAAAGATGAAAAAAATTACTCCCTCTGCAAGGAATGTGCTATTCCTCTCGTACTGGAGCGATTATCTACAATGCAAGTCGGTGAATCATTATTAATTATTGGCATGCGGTTATGGACTCAGTTTGATGTTGGGATCTTCTATTTACTGAGCAGTATTTTTTCCAAAGTGAGTTTTTACAATTTGTTTTGTTTCCTTTTAATTCTTTAAATCTTCATTTGTTTAATCCTTACTTTCTTTGAGGTCGTTCTCTTTTTGTCTTGGAAATGCTTAGTTGAAGAAATCCTCGTCTAATAGGTATGTGATTTGCAAAAGGAATGGGAGGAGGGGCAAAGGGGAGAAGAAAAAAGAAAATAATTTTTGTCAAACATAATTGATGAATGACTATATTTCTGATGAATGAAATTAGGGCGCTATGCCCCCTGACCGCCCTGTGGTCCTACCCCTTGAGCAGAGTCTCTGAATCTAAATGATAGGTCTCAAAAAATTATTCACACTATCTTTGCAATATCACAAGGAGCTACATGAAAATTTATTTTTGACAACCTAAATTTGAAATTTTTCTGGGGTGGAGTGTCCATCAATGTTTCAAACCGATTAGCAGTTGATTGTCTACCTCATTTAACCGCACTGTGATCAGAGTGATTTTGATCATAAAGCAGTTTGTCATTCCAACTGTCCCCAACTAGGTGGGCTGGAGACTTTTTTATTTACAGTGAGAGATGCTCCTCTCACAATCTTCCTCCCTGTTTAAGATCTGTCACCAAAAAATCGAGGTTCCATGATACTAGTAGATAAGAAAATTAAATACTAAGAGTCAAGAACACTCATTCTGGAGGCCTTCAAAATCTTATTATCCAATTATGCTTTTTACTAGCTGCCTAATTTCAGTGATGCCTGTGATTTTCTTCATGGGGGAACCGTAGAAACGTGTATCCTGGTTGTGGTGTTTCAGAATTCCTGCTCTTATTTTATTTTTAAAAAGAGACCAAAATCACATCATGGCTTGACATTTTTACCAACATGGACATGTGAACATTCTTCACGTAGATAAATGATGTCTAGAAGTTTTCTATTCAGAAAATGAAGTTTGGCAGGAAGTTTGCAATGAAGCAAACCGAGATACCCATTTCTGCAGTCTCACCATCAATATTTGCTTATCAATGCTCAGACATTTTACTACAACTATCAAATGATTTGATTTTCTTTTACCATTAAGGTTGAGATTCTCCCTCCACACTGGGACTGTTTTGCAGTATACTTCCAGGACTATGAACCGAAACAAGAGATTTGTGATTATTTAATGAGTTTAAAGTCTAAGTCAGTCAAGAACATAGTTTCTCTTCTTCCAGTATCTTATCTTTTAGGTAAGTCTCCGAATGTTGATGGTAGATTCATTGCACTCATTCAAATATATGATGCAAATTTATTTTTTTGCCTTGTGAATTTACTTGTTTCAACATTTAACGATCAGTTTCAGCAGTATGTGAAAAAAGCACGGAAAATCAAAATTTCTAGATGCTTATTTGGAATGTTAAAAATCTGCACAACTATGGAATGAAGGTATGAACTTTCCAGCTGCAAATGCATCATGGCGGTGATGTTAGACTAATAGCTGGAGCGTTCATTTCAACACTCCAGAGTTGTTGCGCACATTTTTAATATCCTGGATGGAGCTCCTGAAGAACCCTCTTGTAAGTGCATAATGCTTACACTCAAATGGTAAGAATATATTTTAGGACACAGGATTTTTTTTAATGATTTGAGGATTTGTAAAATCATGGCGCCGTTCTTTTCCAGAAAAGTCTCATAAATCAGTACAAATTCTGACTGTGTACCTCTCAAATGAAGTCCCTCTGAAACACTTTGAGCCGAAATTAAGAACACAGCAAATGAATGTTAGAGGTTTTTTCAGTTGTTAGACCTCTCAACAGAAGGGAACAATAGAGGTGAAATTATGCTTGTATATCAATTCCTATATGGCGTTCATATAGTCGTGCAAATTAAATGATAAAATTATTCGACAAAAGTGGCTTGGGGGATCATGTCAATTGTGATGTTCATGTTTTTACTTGACAATTCAAGTGGGTTCAATTAAGTAGTACATAACTCTATTTTTTGCTTTCAGAATCAGAATTTTTTTCCTCTATTATTGCAAGCAATGACAGATTTTTAATAAACAACCTGAAGCAAGTGTATGAAGTATTATTAACAAAGAAGGACCAACTCGATGCGGCCAAGGCGTTTTACGAATATTTATGTGACCTCAGTGACTCAGATGACTCTAGTGATGGATAATCATACTATGTACATGGGTCAACCCATGATCTACCAACAGAACGATTTCTTCTGTTTTCACTTGTGTTTTGATTTTTTTTTCTTTCTTTCTTTTTTTACTTTTGTAAGTGTAAGATTAGTTTTAAAGGACCGTTTATAATTTTCAATATCATTTTTATACCTGTATATGAATAAGTCAAAAGTTAATTACCATGTTTTGCTTGCAGAGAGAAGTTGTTTTATTTTGCACCTTTTCTGTAATAAAATACATTGTTTTTGTTATTCAATTACCTTATTTTTTCATATCAGTTCCTTTGGATGAAGACAAGACTTCCAAAAGTAAATTAGAGTCACAATGAAGGAAAGTAATAATGATACTTTTGCTTGCTTTAAAGATTAATAGGCGCATGGTCTTGAGAGTATTTTAAGATGCAGTGTAGGTATCAAACATGGAATGTTCTACCTCCAAGATTCGTAAGATACCTCTACCAAATTCTATAAAGTTTCTCTGGCTGTTGTACACCTTTCAGCCTTTTTAGTTCTTCAAATATTCTAATGGGGGCTAGTAGCCATTTTATCAGTCCCAGTTTTCAAAAAGTTTTCTGAAAAACATTAGAACAGAAAAATAATAGAAATATCCATTGTAAAGTTGAATGATATCGAAGGCGCCAGGATATCACTTTGGGCCACTTCCGTCATCTTGGATTTTTGGATTTTGAAACTTTGACGAAAATGCGACTTTTAAGTAAAAAAATACCCCCTGTTATCAAGTTTCACAAAAATCGATCTAGCAGGAGCCGCATATGGTAGGATTAGTGACATTCTACTCTCTACACGCGATAAATGATACTTGTCAATTTGCATGCGTTCGTGCGCCTTCATATTTGTCTGATACCGTGCAATACTTCTGTGGCGGAATAGTTGCTCAGAGCGCCTTCAAGAGTGTCGCTTCGGCTCGATGGCAGGGGATCACAATTTCCGATGAAATTACACTCTAGCGCGTGCGCAGTGACATATTTCCTCATCACCGCCGGCGAGCTAAAAATTATCCATACCTCAATTTGCGACGTTGCAAGTTTTTCTTTTTCAATTTTAAGTGCATAAACCAATATAAACACTTTAAAATCTGCTGATATTTTTTCGAGCCATGATGAAAAATGTTATTTTAATGTTTCAATCGAGTCACTTTGTGTGCTTTCGTAAAAAAAGGAAAAATGAAGTATGAGTAGGAACTTGCGAACGAACAAAAGCGGATCCGAAATCAAGAGCCCGCAAAGCAGGGCTGGGTGTGCCTACTTGCCGCTCATGGGCCGCCTGTATTTTGCCGCCCCTTCTCATTCGTTTTGAGACATCAATGAAAACCATCAAGTGAACGTGCCGGAGGGGGAGGGGTGCATAAGATGGGTTACTCGTGTTGGACACATTTTTTGCGAAAGCCCTGTCAACACTACTAGCAAAAATTAAGTTCTGTAAACCTATCTCTGTGTGGACAAGGCCTTTCAAAAATAAGAAATTTACAGATATATTATGAAAGAACATAAAAGGCACATAAATGGCCAAACATAAATGTGGTTTAATAATTCTAGCTGGAGCGCAATTCAGCTATGCATTCACCACTGCAAAAATGTCGAAGGAAATCGACAAGCCCGGCGTGCGTGGAGGCTACTTCCATTTTAATCTTCCGTCACATTCTTACGGCGCAATGATACAACTATTTGAACTCTCCGGAATGCGTGAGGTATCACGGCGCATTTGAAGGCGTTTTCAAAACAGCCAAGTTCCGATACCCGGATTATCGTTTTGTATAGTTCATATTATTTTGTTATATTCCGTACCACTTGTTAATTTTTAATCCTCGTATGAAAACCACCCATTTGCTACATACAATTCTAGCTGGAGCGCAATCCAGCTATGCATTCACCACTGCAAAAATGTGAACAGAAATCTATAAGGCCAGCGTGCATGAAGGTTTTAAATTGTAATCTTCCGTCACATTCTTACGGCGCAATGATACAACTATTTGAACTCCCCGGAATGCGTGAGGTATCACGGCGCATTTGAAGGCGTTTTCAAAACAGTCAAGTTCCGATACCCGGATTATCGTTTTGTATAGTTCATATTATTTTGTTATATTCCGTACCAACTGTTAATTTCTAATCCTCGTGTAAAAACCACCCATTTGCTAAATATAATTGAGGAAATTTACACTTCTTTCCGTGTTGTGGGAGGAATTTTTTTAAAATTTTCCGTTATGTGCCCTTTTTCCGGAAATGGACCGGTGGTTATAGGTTTTGGCTTTCAAAGCTAAATTTTCAAGACTTTAACGAGTTTCTAAACGAATATAAATCATAATTTCGATTGCGATCGTGCGGGTTGATCGTTTTCGATCATCGTTAATAAAAAAGACAGCAAAACACGCGAAAAAGTCGAAAAATTCAAACCCACAAGAGACCAATAAAAATTGAATTATTAATAATTACAAAATTTCACGTGTGACCGGTGCAACGCGTAGACAATCACTGCAACCCGATGATATTGCATTCATTAGTAGAATCAGTGCGATGCATCTGTAGTGTGGGATCCTTACTTACATCAGTACCCATCACCTGCCTGCCTGCGCCCTGCGCGCTATCTCCTCAACGTCGCGTCGCGGCGACCGTACCCAGGGGCAAATAGATGAAATACGCCTGACTTAGCCTCACAAAACTTGGTCTCTTAGCTCCAAAAATCGATCAATTAAGCTGAAACTCGGGACATTGGTACATTAAGATGTGAGGAATCCGTTTCTGCCATTTCTGGAAAAAGGGCACATACGCGTATGTGCCCCTTTTCCGGAATGCTCCTCAATTTTAACTTCCACCGCCGCGCCGCGCCGAGCTGACCGCACTGTGTTTGACGCAATGCGTGAAGTATTAACGCAGTCTTGTAGGCGCTATGCATTTCACGCCGATCACTGCTGACCGCACTGTGTTTGACGCAATGCGTGAAGTATTCATGCAGTCCTGTAGGCGCTAATATGTTTTACATGCGACCACCGCGCCGAGGGCTTCTCCTTTCCATCTCAAGTCCTCGTCATCATTGCTCTCTGCGTCGCGCTGCCCCAGGCCAAATTGTGGGTTTGGTTTCTCACTTAACTCGATTAATTGAAGGAGCTGTCTCTTATCACCGATAGACGACAAAATGATTGACTCGATCTACTGTCCTGCGTTAGACGCCTCTGAATGGCGGTCTTAAGGTTTAGGTCCTAAGGCACCTTAAAAATTTGATCATTCTGAACCACACGAGGGATCGCCAAGGGAATCACTTCAGAGACTTTAACGCAAGGGAAGAAACGTAGACGCACCGACAAATGCGAGTTGTTTGACGCATGGAGACCTTATTATCTAAGAATCTGCTCATTCTGAACCACACCAGATATTTTTAGATCTTTAGTAGCACATATTTGTTCTTTACCTATGTGACCTCGATTGGTGGGAAACGCGATTCGCAATGAACACGACTAATTACCTACACTTGCGGGTGTGGCTACATTGAAGTATAAAATTCGTACAATTTTTGGGGAAAACTGTGCTAACCATGTGAAATTTTGCTAAATGTTGTGCATTTGAACGAATTTTCAGACTTTCAGTCGCACGCGTTCATACCTTACGGGACCTTCCTAATCGCCGAAAACGCTTATTTAAGTTTAAGTCGATATGCGGATTTCGGAACCTCAGGAAATCAAAATTATGTGTCGAGCTTTTTCAGAGGCTTAAAACACATCTGAAGATTTAGTCGTTTCTCTTTCTTTTAGAAACCGAAAGCGATTGAGAAAATCAATTGTTCCTGAAAGCTTGCAATTTTCAGCAAATTAACTACTTAAATATTCTAAGCAATTTTGGAACTTCAAAAAGTGCTTCAAGTGAGCTAAATTTTGAAAAAGAACCCCTCCTTACGTGCTGAATTGAAGTTTTTTCTCGTGCCATTACGGAAATATTCCGTTCGTGTTATTAATTATAACACTCCAGCAAATAATTATACCTGTTTTGGTTATGAACCGTTAATCTGTCACGCTCGCAGTAGTAGCTAACTGTTTTAAAATGACTTCTATATGCAGATGGTGAGAACAAGATCAATCAATGTGACCATTTAGCACATAGATATCAATGCACCTACTATTGATTTCTGTCAGTAAAGTCTCACCGATTTCATAGAAGAGCAAGGATTAAATATAGATTTAACAACTGACCAACTGGCTAACACTTGCAACGGGCCTCATCGGTGCCGTCTGTCACATCTCGGAGTTCGATGCGTGAAAGGTCTAGAGTAGCTGGAGCGCCTTCAGTTTTGCTGTATGCAACTTTGACATCCATGGAGCAGGTAAAGTTGCATGAAGGCGTTATCATCATCGTTGCGTTGCGTTATCGTTTTATCAATCGGTCGTCGAATGAAGTAATGACGCTGGATGTCTTATTGTCTTGCTCCGTTTCTTTTCGTGAATAATGCTTAGTAATAAAATGATCATTCTATTTTAATTACGTTTTCCGTGATAATTTCTAATAAACAATTGTGTATTTTTTTTATTATTGAAAAAAAAACAACAACAGGAACTCTCAATAGCCACGACGACGGGAGGAAAATAAATGAGAGGAAAATCAATTCTATCTAGCTACAGCATAGCGCAGCTTTGAGAATAATCCACAATTTTTACGAGTTTAAACGTGAAGCATCAAAAATTTAAGAAATAGTTGTAGATAGCTAGAGTTCAAGAGTTGTAAGTAATAAAATTGGGACCTAATATAAATAAAATAAAATTGGAAGAATGAATTGTATTCATCATGTATTCATGTATTTTCCTTTTGAAAATGCAACACACTGGGGAGAAAAACACATTGTAGCTTGAGTTCAGACTCTTGAAAACATTGACAAGAAAAAATACTCTTGATTCAATCGGATTTTTGATTGAATCAAAACGAAATCCGCTTAAATTAAGAGGCTTGGTTCTTGATTTAAGCTAGATTCTGATTGAATCAAGAGTACTTTTTCTTGTCGATGTTTTTAAGAGCCTGGACTCTAGATCCAATGTGTTTTTTTCCTTAGTGCATGATTAAGTCACACATTTTTTTTATAATCAGTCTTTGGATTATTAGCCACCCACGGATTAAGGTGATGAAAACTTCCCAATTTCCAGGAATTACTGTATGTAAAAATATTTTTTCGTGCGATTTTTTCCCCGTGTGTATTAGTCCAGGCAATTGGGCATCAAATAGGGGCTCTTGGGGAAAATTTCCCGGAAAACTTTTTGATG